CATGCCTATATATCTTATATATAGCACATTTATTTTTATAATGTAGGCAGCATAATATTGTAGTATAATCAGTATATTCAATATAATCAACATAATATTGCCATTCAGAAAAGTGCTTCTGGACAAAGCATTAGGCATGCTTGGAAATTAAGCTACTAAAGACTTCATTTGGACTGATCATAGAATGATTTGTAACATTACATTGTGAATGATTTTTGTAATAAACCATGCCAACATATTACTTTCATAACAGCTTAATAGTCTTATTATACCTTGTGAAATATCTTTCAAAATTCTTAACTTACCTCTTAAGTACTCGAGCATCACTCTGATCCTGTGGCCTATGGGTGACATGGCAAGCAACATGTTAAATGAACTTCAAAATTTCCATAACTAATTTGGAATCCTTTCTAATTGTTTCCCTGAGATAAATGCCTCACTTGTCTCCCCCTTGCCTAGCTCTGGTACTCAATATTTTAGTTGGTTTTTTTTATTTACATCATGACTATTTCTATTTAAGCGTATACATGTGTGTGTGTATATATGCACACAGACTAACATGCATAAAAATGAGAAAACCCTTATGTGTATACACATATAACTGATATTTAATATATGAACAATCTGAAATTGTTCCAGGCCAGGGTTTTCCATTCCAAAGGGCCATTTAAGCATTTCTATGTAAGTTATGACCTTAAATTAGATTAATAGAAGTATACTTAAGATCCAAACTGGTATAGGTATGCATATGCAAATAACAGAGATATGGAACCAATCACAGTAAAGTGCAGTGGTTGGCAGTGTCTATATAAGAAAACAAACAGGTGTCTGGCAAAATTGTTAGATTGATTACTGCTGCTACAGTGGCAATTTATCAAGGTTTAAGTGAGTTTGAATGTGGTGTTATAGTCGGCACACGAGAGGTAGGACATAGCAACTCCAAGGTAGTGATGAAATTTGCATTTTCATATATGAGCGTTTCATGATTCTACTGCAAATATCAGGAATGCGGTAAAACATCAAATCTCTGACATCGCTGCTGCCAGAGAAAGGTCATGAAAGAACGGGGCAAAGGATGACTGTCGAGATTCATTAAACGTGACAGACATGAAATTCTTCTTCAAATTGCTGCAGATTTCAGTGCTGGGCATCAAAAAGTGCCACTGTACAAGCTGTTCAATGGACCATCATTGATATGGGCTTTCGGAGCCAGAGGTCCTCTTGTGTAGCATTGTTGACTGCACGACACAAAGTGTTATGCCTCACCAGTGCCTGACAACACTACCATTGGGCCATAGATGACTGGAAACACGTTGCCTGATCTGATCAGTCTTGTTTCCAATTGTATCAGGCAGATGGACATGTATGGGTAAAGAGACAACCTCATGAATCCATGGACTGTACATGTCAGCAGAGGACTGGTGGAGGCTTTGTCACAGTAAGGGGCATGTGCACTTGGTGTGATATGGGACTTTTGATATGTCTAGATATGACTGTCAGGTCACAGATACGTAAGCATTCTGTGCAATCACCTGTACCTATTCATGTCCATTGTGCATTGTCCACACATCATGAGTTGCTAACAAGTGGCTCCAGGAATACTCTTCTGACTTAAGACATGTCCACTGCCCACCTAAATCCCTAGACATGAACATTATTGAGCATATCTGGGATGCCTTTCAATGTGCTGTTCAGATGAGATCTCCACCACCCTGCATTCTTATGGGTTTGTGGATTGCCCTGCAGGATTCATGGTGGGAATTACCTCCAGCACACTTTCAGGCTTAATCGAGTCCATGCCATATCATGTTGTGGCACTTCTGCATGCTCTCCAGGGCCTTGCATAATATTAGGCAGGTATACCAGTATTTTTGTCCCTTCAGTGTGTAAGAAATAGATAATAAAATTAGGCATTTAAAATTTTTCATTTTCCACAATAAATGTAATAAAAGCTAAAACTTTAGAAATAGACCCTAAAGTTATTATTAGCTTATTGTCTGTTATTGTCCAAAATGCTGAATTAATGAGAGGTCTAGTTTGGCATTGCTTTTTTTCTCTAGGTCATCAATGTCTGCCTGTATGATTAATATAGCAGTTGTATAGAATTTGGGCAAGATTTTCTCTGTCCAAAGCGATATTGCTTTGTTTTTTATGGTTTTCACCCTATAAGGTATTTCTCCCGCCGCCTTAGCATCCCTTCATGGTGTAGTGGCCTGCACACTGGACATGTATTCCAGAGGTCTGTGGTTTGATTCCCGATAAAGGCATTGCTCATTTTTCATCTTGCCTGCTTCCAAAAATACCTAATGCCTCTACAGTGGTGCCCGAGCTACAAGAGTGGTGGTGTATGATTCTCCACAGTCAGGATTTGGCAATTAGGTCGCTTAAAAGCCCCAGTCACCCTTTAAAAGGGGGTATATAAGGTGCTTCGCCCTCCGCCTTAGTGTGCCTTTGTGGTGTAGTGGTCTGCACGTTAGGCGTGTATTCCAGAGGTCCATGGTTTGATTCCCGGCGAAGGAGTTGCTCATTTTTCATCTTGCCTGCTTCCAAAAATACCTAATGTTTCTACAACCCTTTATAATAGTTGTTCATGACATTGCATGTTACCAAAAAGTGAAACAAATGATAGCTTTTAAAATATTTCAATAAAAATTTTGGACCATAAATTCCATAAACTATATTCAGTAAATTTTATCAATTTATACCTGGGAATATAATTGACAAAAACTATATCACCATTGAATGATCGAAGCTTCGAAAGAAAAATTTGATATTGAGAGTGATTCAGCCCACTGACCCGTATAAAATTGACAGTAGACACAATTTTTCCATATTGTTTGTCTTTGCATAAGATTGGTTCATTGTGAGTGACAAAGTGTCATGTAATAACTTCACTAGACACCAATTTCGACATTAAATTCACTAATGTATAATATACGGCTGGGATTCCTATTGAAATTCAGAGAAGTTTCTTATCTAGAGGAAATTTACAAAAGTGTGTTTTAGCTTAAAAACGTTTTCTGCATATATACCTTTCAGTGGACATGAGTCTAGTAGTTCCTTTAAGATTTTGAATATTCATATGTAAATTCACAATTTTGGTAATTTACATTTGAGGATTTCAGCTCTTTCGAGAAATTTCAATGCTGGTTGTTAAGTCATCTATTCTCCTTGCAAATTTGTGGTATAAAAAATTTGTTTTCTCTCCCGTCAACTTTTTTATGCATGTGCAATAGACTCAAATATATCCAAGAAATCTTACAAAAATTTCTTTAGTTATCTTGCAACATTGTATCTTCATCAGTTAAATAACTGATCTTGGATCCTGATTCCTCAAAACTTGGCTTTCAGTTTTTCCCCACCCTAAAAAAAAAGTTGTAGCCTGAAAACATTATTTTTTAGAGACCTGATAAATTTTTTCTTGGAGTAGTGATATTTATTGGCATGTTCCTAGAATAACGTCTGTGTATATTATACTGCTTCAAAATAGTTACACACTCTTACCATATGAAGTACAGTGCTCATATGTTATACGCAGAAAATTCAGTAATCTAAGCAACTTAAAATTCTGCATTCAGAATTTGAATTTTTCTGTTACTGTGTACTTTGGTGGGGCAGCCATATTTGTGCTGTTACGAATATTGTACATAAATATGTCATTTTATTAAAATTTTCTATTTATCTACAAAATTCGTGACATTAGCTCCTTCGCAAGGACTGCTTGTGCTGGGCAGCACAGTTCCTGGACTGGAAGTCATACTTACAACTAAGGGCAAACCAATGCAATACTTGAACAATAATTGTAATAAATGACATAAAACAAATCAGATTCTAAACCCATAAATAAATGGATAAATTTGCAAATGTATATACAAATATGAGCATGGTCTTAGTATACTATTTACATTATATGTACACTACTATTGGGGCTGTGTACTGTGGCTCTAGTAAATGGTTAGCCTGTTGTAATGAGCGAGTTTAGGCTTAGAATTTGATGACTTACGAATCCAAACTATGCGTCGTTCAGCTTGTTGAGGCCTGTGTAAGAACCATCCCAAGGTTACTGTAGTTTAGGAAAGCGTCTTTAACCACACCTTGTCACATTCCTTGAACGGATATCCTGCAGCTTTTGTGTCGTATCGGGTTTTCTCCTCCCTCAAAAAAAAAAAAAAAAAAATATTTAAATTTAGAAGTCTGGATTCATTTTGTAATAATTTTTCAGAGAATGTAATTAGTTTATCAAGAAATTTTCTCACCTGAAATGAAAGTTTATGAAACATTTTATTGTAAGAATGTGCAGGATTTGTAAGCTGTGCAGATTATATGTATGAAAGAAAGTTTCTTAAAATGTTCATTTTAATTTGACTAAAAATTTAAAAATATTTAAAAGTCTTTTTTTCCCTTTCTGCTGATTCATGTGTATTTGTAGGTCTGGCAAAATACACACACACACACATATATATATATATTAATTTTTCAGGGAAAGTGTTCATAGTAAGCAAAATTTTTCAAGTAATTAATAAAAGTAATTACTTTTTTCAATTTTATTCTTGGTTCATCTTGAATCTTGCATGAAAAGCTTTACTGAAATAAGTGTAGCAAGTACTGCATGCTGTGTTTGCATTTAATCGCATCATTGTACTACATGCTGTGCAATAATAAGTGTATCCAAGTATTATATGCTTTGTCAGAAATGTGTTTATTTAACTAATTTATTAATTAGATACATAAATATATCTTGTAAATCTCTGCAGGGAAATAAACCATTCTATAGTCTATAGATGCACATCACATAAAATTATGCATATTCTGCAAGATGTAGTTTTAGTACCAGTATTTGAAGCATTTAACTGTACTGTATAGATATAATTCAACATATTTTGCAAGGAATTCCTGAAATATGCTTGTAAAATTTACATTAACCATTTCTTTAAATCTAGAGGTAATACTTGAAAGTTTTGTTTCATTAATATTTCCTTTATGTTATTCTTATTCTACAGCCCTGAAAGTATGGGATTATTAGATCCTGCAACAAGTGATGGGAGAGTTATATTTTTCTTGCCATGGCAAAAAATGACAATTGCAGGTATTTTCTAGTTTCCCTTTTTATTTCCATTTGTTTCCTTTTATGGCTGCAGGTTATGAATATAATTACTGTGATTTCAGTTTGTTCTATTCTATCTTGCTATTTTATTCACTTCCTTGGGCTGTAAAAAATGAAGGAGGAACAAAGAGAAAAATATGCTAGTGTAAAATTAGAGGGAAAGGATCCTTAAATTGGCATAGATACTGAATCATGGAAATGAATGTAGCAGGAATATTGAATAATATTCTTACTTGTAATAAATTATCTAATTAACTTACGAATTCATATAATTTGCTAAATAAAATATTAAATTCCTGTTAAAAGTAATTTCAATTTTATTTATCAAATTATAGTTATTTTTTTATCATCTTTATTGCCTGTAATTTTTCTTAATCAGGAAAGTATTTTTGTATTTCTAGATCTTTAGAACTTGTTCATGAAATGTTTGTCGAAAACTCGCATTTACAGGTTTCATTGGGTTTCTTATAGTACTCTTCTCTAATTGTCCTAAAAATTGGAAAAGAAAAGAAAGAAATAAAAGAAAAGGAAAAAAAAATTGCATTCCTGATTTTTTTCTCTTTGAGGCTGTTTATTTGTTCTGTATTTCTGACTGGAACTTGGTATTTTCAATGAAATAAAATATATTTTTCGTGATGTCATTTTAATTTGATTTTTACCTTCTTTTTTAAGTGGCATGGAAAGTCTTATATGATAATTATATAATAATATTCATAACATTCTTAAATAATTAATGGTATTTTAAGATACCATTAACTTTTCTGCAATAAATAACTTTATTTTCATTTTACAAAATCCGCTTCAAAAATTTCTCAAAACCTGAAATATTCAATATTGCATAACAGTTAAATTTTATAGAATTATAAAAGAAAAAGTAATAGAGATTACAATGATAGTTTAGTCTATTAGAACAAATTAGTACACCAGTTCTTGTAATATTTGTATGTTCACTTCATACAGTAGTCAGTAAAGGTTATGTTATACTTAATAAATGTGTACTTAAACAGCTCTCAGATTTGCACCTCGTATCTTTCTAACTTCATTTTTCTTGGCTGATGCCTATTATGAGGTGTTGCGTGAATGAGTGTTACTACGTGAATATATAAACAAATTTCTATCTAACTCTTACATTAAATATAGGACTATTTCAAGTCACTGTAGGTGTTAAATTTTTGCCCCTTTTCCTTTCTCCCATAAAATGTTTAGTTAAAGGTAGTATTAAGCTCTGTTCTACACTGTTTTTTAACCTGCCAGTGGCTGAGTAGATAAAGCTGCAGAGCTGGTTGGGTTTGAATCCTGAGGAATGAGCCGTCTGCAAGAGCACTTTTTTGGTATTTTCATGTGCAGTGTTGATGCGAGCCAGTTTCTATGAGAAATCCTTCCATGAATGTATCCCTCCTTTTAGGCAGGTAGCTCTCGCGGCCTTTGCCATAATCAAATAATTACTGTGCAGTATAACTTACATTTAGAGTTAAGATGACCTCTTCCTGCATTACTTTCAGTTATTTTATTACTGTGTTAGTGTTGTGTGTAATTTTTGCTCTATAAACAATATTTATTTCTTATGTTATTTTTATATGATGTGCATTTTTATAGCCATTTATTTCATTCTCCCCCTTTTTTGGGGAGGGGACATGGAGCAGTTTTGGAATTACTAAGCTCTACATTTTGTTGTGTATGTGTATGATTTTAGTGACTTTGCTTACTTTTTGCTTTTTCCCTAAAGATAAAGGAAATGTCTGCCAACGTCTTTTCACAAATTTATTATTCTTACATTATACAGTCAAAAGTCTTAAATCCGGGCTCGTCGGAACTTCGGCGATTCCGGATTATAGATCATCAGTTTAAATCTGGTAAGATGGCGTGCAGAAATTATAAAATTAAAAATATGAAACCTTAATTTATGAAATAAAGAGCAATTATGATCTAAAGGGTTCAAAATTTACAGAAAAAAGTTTAATATTTATTTGTTTACTTTATTAAACATTTCTTTCAACGTGCACATGCGTAAAGCGTACGTTACGCATAGTCAAAATTAGAAAATTGCAACCAAAAAACTATTTATGTGTATTCGTGATATTTATAATGATGAGGAATTTGATTTAAATCATATCAAAGACAGAGTACATCGAGATGAAATACTACATTTAGTAAGGAATTATAAGCCAAATAAAATAAAAACATCTGCCCTGAAGATAAGGATAGTGCTGACAGATCAACTTCAGTTCATTGCGCGCCGCGACATTCCCCCCTCGCAGAGCAGCGTGAAATTGATAAACAGATTTCGGAATGGTTAGAGAAGCAAAGGATATGCCTTTACCCATTTTTTGCAGCAATTCCACTTTTTGTTTGATGGACATCGAAACATGCTTTCGCTTTGTAGATCCTTTGGAAGCTCCAGAATCGGAAATTCTTTTTGACATAATCGAAAGTTCAAGCTTACTTTTATAAAATTGTTCTAACAGTCTGCAAAAATACAATTAGAAGATTAAGGAACAACGCAATATGCAACATTAACTGAAATAAATAATTAGATCATTTTAGCTTAGCTTATATCGTCTGTTATACATTAAACGCGTATGCGTAAACGCATAGCGTTTACGCGTGCGCAGAAAGTTTGTAGCTTTGAGGGCCGGATTATAGATCATTCCGGATTATGGAAACTTTTGACTGTAGTACTTCTTGTATCACTGCACCACCCACTCAAAGGATGTTTGATTCACTATGTATTTTAAGTGTGCCTTACTGCAGCAACACTATACATTTACAAACATCCAAACCTTCTTCAGAATTTTAACCTGGGTCCATCAGATTGCAGTCAGCATCAGTAACCACTATAGTGTCTGGGTAGCAGAGGACTGGTACAAGAAATACTACTATAATCTTTCTCAGCTTGTGAATAGATATCACAGCACAATTTCATGCTCTGAGTAGGATACTTAATTGGAATTAAATGCCGTGAGTTCTTCTCTTAACCAATTTGATCTTCAAAGTACTGAGATCTCCAAAAGAAGAATTTTGCTGTTCAACAACTTTTTCAAGATTCCCAAAAGCTTAGTATTAGTTAAATATGAGAGATTTCGTGCCTAAAAAAGAAAGATATCCATAATGCCTGAAAAATGCAATACCTGGGGATGTAGCATTTCATATTGATAACCCTGGTGCATGTAGATCTGCAAATGAAAATGTGTTGGGGAGCATGTTCATTTAATGATAATGAGAATATTTAATATTTCTCTTTTCTGCCTGTAAACTTAATTTAGAATTAGGTTTTAAATTGATCTCATCTTATTACTAAAAAGAGTGCAGGCCATTTTTTGTAGAGACTAGCCCTGATGCTCTTAGTATCAACTGAGGTGGATGATGTTAATACTAAAGTCCTAGAGCTGGCTATAAGATCTAAGCTCAGTTTGTCAGTCACGTTCTTACTGCAGCAGTCAGTCGCAGATTGAAATCAATCTTGAGAAGCAGTTACCCCACCCAGTACCAGAACTAATAAGGCTGCTAAATATTACTAGTTCAATCTGTGTTCAAATCCTGTTGAATGGATATTTTCGTGGATTCTTTTATGTGAAAATGTGAATACAAGCTGATCTTCCATAAAAAGTCCTCCACAAAGGCATTCCTTCTCTCTGGCAGGTAACCCTAGTGTGCTTAGCGTAACTTGAGAAATCCTAAATCCAGTTGAAGAGCTGTTGTTTCCCTTTTGTGTCTTGGCTTCTGTTTTTAAATTGCTTCCAGTAGACAAAAATCTGTGTTGAAGCATTCAGACCATCTTTCCGTTTCCATACTTGTTTGCCTTTCTTCTAAATGCCCAGCAGCTATTTAACTCAGAAATTCTTCCATGTGATGCCAAAAATACACACACACAAAGTATTTTAATGGGATAAACACTTAAATCAAACTCTAATTTTGGGATTTAGCAGGCAAATGTTCTTGATGCAGGGCACATGCCATGCCTTTGGCTGACATCATCTCATTATTTTCTTTACATAAACAATTTTAGTCAAACTGGCTTGGACAGTAGTATAAAGGTTTGCTTTTTTCCTTATTTCAGGAAAAAATAAACTTTCGCTTTACTTCATGAAATTATTTTTTTTTTATCCATAGAAATAATTTAGAACATCAATGTAAAATTAAATTTAAGATCTTCATTTAAAAAGTATACAAGTTTTATTTTGATGTATATGCATTTTATTTTGTTGCTATATAATTGTCATTAGAATAAACGTTTTGATAATAACTTAAATGGAACTGTGCATTTTAAGAATATCACAGTTTCTGCTATTTTTTCTTTAATCCAGTTAGCTGTTTACTTATTAACCAAAACTCAAAAATTTACATATGGCTTTTGAATTTTTTCTCTTACCAAAGTACTGATAAAAGAAAATCTAGATTTTGGAGGATGGCATTGAAGAACAGACATAAGGTAAAATAACAAATAGAATATAAAAAAGAGCAGACATTCTACTAGGCAATGCAAGATTATATTTTTGTATGCATTGACAAAAAATTAAGGAAATTTAGAAGTTAAAAAATATGACAGAGAAGAAGAGAATATTGGAAGTAATTTTGTAATTTTAATTAAATTCACATTTGTATACAGGGTGTATCAGTACAGCAGTGACAAACTTTCAAGAGAGATAGAGTGCACCTAGATGATGGGAAATCATATAGGAATGCATGGTTAGAAACGCTTTTCTGGTGTGGTAGTGACGACCCAAAAGTCAAGAAAGAAAGGACATGAACAGGGTGAGAAAACATGTTTATTATTCGGAGTACAACAGAACAAAGAAAAGACGGCATAGAAAGACAATTATCATCATCAAAGAAGGTATTCGAAATTACGACCATGACCATGATGCAGGAACCGTGCGTCATGCATCTTCTATGCACCAGAGAAGTAAGACCTGCATCATGGCCCGGGGTCGTAATTTTGAACACCTTCTTTAATGACGATCGTTATTTGTTTTTGTTCTTATTTGTAGGTTTCTGCTGTACTAAACATAATAAAACATGTTTTGTCTCGCTGTTTGTGTCCTTCCTTTTTTGCATTTTGTGTCGTCACCACTGCGCCAGGAAAGCTTTTCCGACCATGCATTGCTATGTGATTTCCCATCGTCTAGGTGTACTCTGTTTCTCCTAAAAGTTTTAACTGATCTGTTTGTACTCTATCTGTCCTGAAAGTTTGTCACCGCTGTACTGACACACCCTGTATTTTCTTTATAGTAAGGAAAAGTATACATATTGCATATGATAATTGTTTAATTTATAGCTGTTTGAAATGCATTTAATATTTTTGTGAAAACTAAATGCACATAATGTTTGTCTTAAATGTTTCCTAACCTAATAATGGGCTTATGGGAGTGTTTTGGCTGCCATGCTTTTTGAAAGCATGGTGCTTAAGTCTTGAAGATTATTTTAGATTATATGGAGATTACCCATTTTTGGGGGGGGGGATCTTGAATGAATTTGATAGAGAATTTTTCTTTTGAACCTCTGATTTTTGGACCTGTGTATTTGATACCTAACTATATAGTACTTCCATAAATTCTTATTTTCGGTTTCTAGTTAGAAGTGTTTTATTATTCTTTTATGCTATAATTTCTATACTTATTGTACTCAGGTATTTAATAGCTTCAGTGCATGTATATATATTTTATTCAAAATCAGGAATATAGAATTCTTTTTGTAAACCCTTTGGATAATACTTTTGCTAAACTAAAAGATTAAGTATGGCAGTAATAAAATCTTAAATACAGCTTTTTCAAGAAATAAGCTCCTTCATACATATTCAGTTTAACCTCTTTCAGTTAATTATCTGCATCAAACTCATAACATTTTAAATTACATTATAATAGTAGGATAAATAATGCAAATTGATCTATATAGCATAAAAGCTTAAAATATTAAAGTGTTTTAATATCTAAACATATTTAGCTTAAACATAACTAAGAATTATTTTATAAAGCAGTCAGACAATATTTAGATATATCTTTTTTTATTTAATTGATATCTTGATTTTAATCACATACCAAATTTCTCCTAATTTTGTCTTTTATTCTTTCTTACTTCATTTATTGTTTATTTCATTTTAGTTTCTAATATATATAAAGTTATAGTATACTTAAGAATTAAAGCATTTTCAGTATTATGAAATTAATTACGATTTTATTTTTCAATGCCATACATTTTATTAGAGCAGTTTATGTATGAAATTTTGATTTTTCTAATTCACTCATATTTTTATCATACCCTTTCAAAGAAGAAACAGCAGTCTATGTTGTAATCATGTTCAGATTTTTTTAATTCTGATACTTGTACCTGAAGATTAAATTAAACTGAACTGACTGCTGCTACTGTAAAATATTTTTTACAAAATGAGAGGAAAGAAGACATAAACTCATATATGTATCTATACACTGAAGAGTCATTACCATTATGACCACCGTCCATCTATAACAGTGAGCTTGCCCAGGAACAAAAACACTCTGTATGCATAGCTGCTGTTATAGTATATGAAGCTGCTACATGTTGTCTTTCCAAACATAGCACAGTTATCGACATAATGGGAAAAGCAGTTGATTTATCAGACTTCTATAAAAGTCAAATCATTATGGCTCAGTGACTGGGAACATCAATATCAGAAACAGTATGTTAAGTGGGCTGTTGACGTGCAGTTGTTGTGAGAACAAATCAAAAGCAGTGTATGGATGGTGAAGTGACAAGTCGCCAGCCAGCATTGATTCCAGAGCAGAGCCGAAAAGCTACACATTGTCACTGTGACCGAAGAGCTACAAGAGCTGAAATCGCCACCAGCTACAACAGTGGTGACCTAGACAGTGTTTCTCAACACACTGTGCAACGTACATTGCTGTGTATGGGTCTACGCAGCAGGAGATTGAAGCATGTCCCTGCACTGATGGCACATCATCACCAGCTGCGTCTGCAGTGGGCCAAGAAACATCAGAACTGGACATTATAAGAATGGAAGAAAGTTGCATGTTCCAACGAATCACGTTTTCTGGTCCATCACATCGATGGGCTTGTCATACGCCGATTTCCAAACGAAACCCTGGCTTTGAAATGCACAGCTGAACAGAGACTAGCCAATGGCAGGGGTATTATGGTGTGGACAATGTTTTCATGGAGCACATTAGGTCTCATAATCACCATAGAACAATCCGACATCTGTGCATTACTTGAACATCATTGCAGACCATGTTCACCCATTCGTGACAACGGTATTTCCAGTGGAGGATGGTGTTTACCAATAGGCTAATGCACCATGTCATAAAGGTCAAATCATCAGGGAGTGGTTCAAGGAACATTCTAGTGACTTTAATGATGTATCTTGGCCTCCAAATTCACCTGACATCCAATCTGTGGTCCCATCTGGAAAACCAATTTTGTGCTGCCACGCTACCCCCTCGCAATTTGCGGGAATTGCAGGACCAGTTAGTGAGCACTTGGTACCAGATACCTCAAACTACATATCAGCACCTTGTTTAGTCAATGCCACACTGGTTGCTGGCAGTTTTTAGAGCTAAAGGTAGTCCTATATGTTATTAACAGGGTGGTCATAATGTAATGTCTCTTTGATGTGTATATATATATATATAATATGATTTTTGCACTAAAGAATGCAAGGATTTAAAAACATTATTTTCATGAAAGGTTATAATAATATCAGAAGCTAATACATATGCTACCACAAATATAAAATGCAGATGGGTTGTTACCAAGGACATAGTGCATTTGTGTGCTTAAATTTCCACTGTTTCCGGTTTATTTTAATCAGATTTCTTTCTTAAAAAAAAAAAAAAAAATTTCTCACTGAATATGTCTTGATTCAGGTTTTCTAAAGGTTTTAATTATTTAACTAATGCAGTACAATTTTTTTCCTATAAAAAGAATGATCAAACATTAACATTTATGTCCTTTGAACTAAAAATTAATGATTGTTTTTAATAGATTTTAGAATAAAAACCATTATAAGGACAAAATGGAAATATTTTGAGGAAGCCAATGCCTAGAGCCCTTAGTAATGTATTGAAAGATAAACCTAAGGATATGTAATAGCTGTATAAGCTACAATGAAAGAGAGTTTTCAAAATTCTTCTTCTATCTTTGACTAATCCATAACAAGCTGCAAACACTGAAAACGATATAATGTCTATGTCTGCCGAAAGGACTTTCATTATAGCTATGACAGCTTTATTTTTACTTCTGAAATGGGTTTGATTAATGTTTCAGTTCCATTTATTTCTTTGCTCAATTTTCTTATACAGTTTCTATGTATTTAGTAAATAAGTCTAAATATCTTTATTGCCTTTTTTAGAAATCTCATTTTTGATGGAAGAAAATTTGTTATTATTACTGTTTCTTTCATTTTAATTTGTAGTTTGAAAATATGTATTTTTTCAAAAGTGTATCATTTCTAAATTAAAATATTGACTTTTAACTTCCTCAGGCACAACTGATAGGCCTTGTCAAGTGACTCATCATCCAAGACCAACAGAAGATGAAATTCAGTTCATTCTGAATGAAGTTAAGAATTACTTAAGTCCTGAAATTACAGGTACGTAATCTCTCTTTCAATAGTAATCCAAAGCTAAGCATCTTTTATACGTGGGTACATCTGTCTTCTTTCCTGTTGAGTGTTCTTATTGAAAGTGTGAAATTGTTTAAAAAGCAGTTTCTGTGATGTGCATCTATTGTATTAATTTAATTACTTATTTTTCATTTAGTTCGTCGGGGTGATGTCATGTCAGCTTGGAGTGGAATTCGTCCTTTAGTTTTGAATCCTAACAAAGATTCTACAGAGTCTCTAGCTCGAAATCATGTTTTGCATGTCAGTGATTCAAATCTTATAACAATTGCAGGTAAAATAATGATTTAAAAATTATTTAAAGTCTCTTGTTATGGATTATATTTTACAGATACCCTAACAGTATTTACTGTAGGAAAAAGACACGAAGAATAAGAAGTTTTTGTTTATAAATTGCTGATTTTAAAATCCTTTTTAAAACTTTCTGTTCAGTTTCAGGTATCCAAATTCATTTGCAGGTATCCATATAGATTTTTGTTTTGTTTTGTTTTTGTAGTTGCTTTATTCTGATACTAAGCATCTTTCATACTTTGATTTCTTTTGCAATAACCATAAGCACTTTACAATATCACAGAAGTATTAGGGATTTTCAGCTTAATGGTATCTTATGAAAGTTTAAGCAAGTTATCACTTCTGTATGTTTATTTATTTAATAGAAATGACTTGAGTGTATTATACCTACATTTTAACTTTTGAAAACAAAAGGACTGTAGATGATAAAAGTACACAGATCTGTAATCTTAGATACTTGTGAATCCATATGCTTTAAAAATTGTGTATCTTCAGCATGCTGGCCATTTGAACAATAAGATTTTATGATGTATTTTTGCCAGCCTGGCTCCAATTTTGGTACCCTAGGCCAGTGGTCTCCATCTCAAATTACATAGAGGCCAAAATGCATGATCTGAAAACAGCTGATGATGCAGAATTTCTTTGAGGAAAAAAAAATAAAAAATTATCATTAAATAAAATAAAAAAAAAAAAAATATTTTAACTTGATTTTAAATCTTGCTTACTAAGTATTTATCAAACCCTGCATAAACAATAATGATAAAAAAAGTACAAATTTAAAAATATTTTACAAAAAATTACAAATCTTGCAAGAGAATTTTTATTTTGTTGGTCACACTTTATAAATCAAGTTTAGTGACAAGTAAGTATTAATATTTAAGCCTAACATTCATTTCAAATAATTCTAATATATTTAATTAGTCATGAAATAACTTACTATAATTTAAATTATTAATAATTTAATTATAGAAACTTCCCAAGTGGAACAAAACCTCAAAATAAGTAATGATAGCCTAGTGTATTTTTCTTATTTATTGGATTTTTTTGGGCACACAGATATAACTAAATTTGTATGTAAATAATTATAAAATTCTGTATTTCTTACTGTAGCTTGCCACTTAATGGTGTTTGGATTCATGAATGGTAGATGCTTATCGGTTGATTGGGTTCTTAATTTTCAGCTGTGAAAAAAGTGCTCTTCAGGTGTAAATGTATTTCAAAACAAAGCAGTTATTCTTAGTTCTGATTTATTTTTGAAAAGAACGAATAAAAGTTTATCAGATCAATCTTTAGATCTTTGAATAGGATGTATATCACGGTATAAATTAATTAGATTTTCTTGTTATTTACATTCATTTTTAATGGTAATGAAAATAGTGTAAACGTATTTGTAAGCCATATAAAATTACTTTGAGGGTAGCCCACAAGCTGCCAGATTGAGACCATTGCCTTAGCAATTCAGTACATTTGGCACAGTTATTAATATGCTTAAAATTAAGCATATTAATAATTTGAAGGAAAATATGCTTTTATTTAGCTGTTCCCTTTGGGAACAACTTGGTTGATACTCTAGGTAACTACTTTTTCACCTATGCTTAGCCCTGTATTTTACCAAATGAGACAGTTGGCAGAGAGCCTTATGCTGTTAGAAAAGTAAATAAATGTGCAGTTGGCCAACTATTAAAATTCTAAACTGTGTAAAAGAAATGGTATATACCAGTTTTTTCAATCCATTGAAAGAAAATGAGAAAGCTTTTTTTCTTCATTTAGTAGTAAAAAATTTTCTATAGGCCCTCGAACTAGCATTGTGTGTAATTGAGTTTTGTTTTATTAATGCGTATTTCATTTGAAGTTCTAGTATATAGTGGTTATCACTTTGCAAACCTCTCCAAAAAATTTTTAATTCTGAACAAGGGGCATGGCTTCACTAGTGGCTGAGTGATTAAGACTGCTGAATGCTGGAGTTTGACCTCAGGCATACGGGCTGGTTGCAAGGTTCGTTTTTGTAGTATTTTCCGAGTGTAATGGGAATGCGAGGCAGTTCCTTTAGAAAGTCCTCCATGAAGGTAGCTCTCTCCTTAGGCAGATAACCCTTATGTGCTTTGCCATATTTGAGTAACCTAACCTGAAGAAGTAGACTTACATCTGATCACCCTTGAAATTGATAGAATTTTATTTAAAATTGACACATCTAAGGGTTCCCTCCTTCAGTTTTTAATTAGTGTGTATCTTTTCTAGTTAAAGAGTTATATTCTTGTATGTAGTTGTAATTATTTCATGAATGATTCGCAGAGAATGATCCCAGAACATGTGCAGAACTGAACTTGTGAAGTAACAAAATGATACTTTCAACTATGTGAACTTAAGGAAGCCTGTCTAAACCAACAACATATAAATATTATATTAATTTTATTCTTCAACAAAATAACAAGCTCATTTCAACAATATCCATTGTCATATTTTCTATTTTTCCCCCATTTTCAAAATCTGATTTCATTTTAAAATCCTAAGTATAAGTAATACAGTCACATTTTAAAACAAAATTGTAATATAACTTGAAAATTCCTGAGTGTTTGTACACTGCAGTATTTGGCCAGAAAAAAGGGTTAGTTTTCTGAAATAGTAAGTTATTAATGTGTGTTAATATGTGTTGAATCATGTTTGCCTGATGGAGTTTTCCTCTGTTAATTAAATATAAATGATTTCATCTCTGATTTTATCTTTTCTAAACTAAGTCCATCTGTTAACCATGTGGAAAGCAGCATTTCTTTATCTTTTAAATTGAATATCATGTGCACTCATATAATGCCCACACTTTTTATCAAAAAATTTCTATGGAAATTTTCTGGTGCAGACATTGTGCAGGTCATTAGATTTGTGAATTCTAGCTTGAGAGATTTTAGTAGCTCTCATGACAATGCATGAAAAGCAAAGCATGTGTGAAAATGACAATAAAAATTAATGTAATTAAATGCTTTATGCAGAAAATTCAAAATTCATATGTACATGCCTACAAAGCTTTAAGATGCTTTCTTCAAACATGCATTCAGCAACATTTTCATAATAATAATTGTTAACACTTTACTTGAACCAGATTTTAGGCTTTACATTGCCACAGAGGTTTTCACACTCTATTATAAGGACAACAGTTCCTGATTTCCTGTCATTCACCTTCCATAATGAGTTGTTAGTTTCACAGTCTTTTTTGCTTTAGTGAACAAAAACAGAAGTGTTTCTTAGTAGTAAATTATCTTCATTTCGTTCCATTGCATTTAGGATGCTCATTACGTTCAAAACCTTCTCAGTTAATATCCTGAGACACACTTCCTCTTGTTAAAAATGCCAATGTATTTTTGCTTAATTCACAGCAAGAAAGTAGTCCATCCACCAATTTCCTGAACTTGTATGTTATTTATTTCCTTAACAAAATTAGTGGTGTAAAGATTACATGGATCAATATTCTTTCCCTAATAATTCTTCCTTAAAATCAAAGGGCAAACCTTACTTGAATGTATATGGTGACTTACTTTTATTTCATTTTTAAATGTCTGTTTTTATGACTATTAAAACTGAATATTCACAATTCTATCAACTGTTCCACTAGGTGCATATTTGGATAGTAAGTTAACATTGACTAAAAAAAATATATGGGATGTATGTCTTAATAACACACAGGTCTAATATATAAGTAATTATAGCTATATACAAGGCAATTATAGGTACCTGCATATTATTATTATATGAAAATATTTCAGAGATACTGCTGATCTGCTTGCTGTAGTAGTATTCATAATTCCATAAATTTTCTGGATGGAGATTTTTAAAACTTGAGGAGACTTAGCTGTGATATTTTACAGTAGTAATTTTCAGCATCAATTCCATTCAAAGGCTGTCAAGAATATTGTTCCAATGTAGTAAAATCTGCAGAGAGTTCTTTTAACCAAGTTCCAATCTTGATGTGTTCATAAGCTTATTATCGTGATGAAAAAATTCATTCCTTTCTGGTTTAGACTAAAAGTTGTGCAACTAAATCCTTGGAGCACTGGTCTTTGTATCCTGAATTTGATTCCAAGTGATGTAACAGGCTCCTAGAATAGACTTTCCATAATTTACCTTATATGTTCTACAAATATACAAAGCTAACTGCTTTTGCAGAGTCTTTTGGAAAGGATTCTTTCATGGACATGTGTCATGTATTCAGTACATTCAAATCTTATGTGTGAAATAATCTCACCACTATGTGCATATAATTCTCAAGTACTTTATTTTGATTGTTTAATAATTTGCTTTTGTGTTTCCGGTGCATATATATGAAGGAATGCAGATTGTCTGAAAGATGAGACATACATTCTGGACCCTTCAGTGATACATCATGGTATTTGAGATCTCACTGTAGGTGTTGAATTGACACCATATTATTTTCAAATATCCATCTACCTGAACAATTCTGTGTTGATTTGACATAGGATATTGACTGTGTTGAATTTCTAGCAAATATAACAACGGAACCGTTCAACGGACATTTGAAGTCCCAAGTGAGTTCCTTTGCTGCATTGTTAGCTGTGGTATAGCAATGTCTATCATTAATTAAAATTAATAATCACTTGAAGTTCTTTTAAATGTTTAACACATGCATTAAGTTAACAGTGATTTATGTTTCTGTTGTTGTTAGGTTAGATCAAAAGGAAAAATTGGAACATGTGTTGACTGTTAGTTTTAATTTCCACCTTTCTTCATTCCCCAAGCTATTCAGATGACCTTGATGAAGAAATTCTTATTTCTAAAATGCTGTATCTCCAGTATGTTCAGTATATAGTCTAACAGTGAAAATGCAATTTCAGTAAGACTTTCAGGCTACCTGGCTTTATGAATTCAGTCACTTCATAGTATTTACCCATTCTGATGATGATAAATTAAAATCTGTATGATGCCCACTTCTTGTGAATATGCCTTATCATCAATCTCTTCTATAATGAGAGAATTGAGACACTGTACAGTAACTAAGTAGAAACTTGTCATTTGGGTTTATGCAGTATGTTGAGTTTCCTGTTATTAGACAGAGCATGCTAAATTGGGAGCCTAGCGTACAAAAAACCTGATATCCTGTTTTCTTATTAAAAAATATTAAACTGTATTTTTTTTTTTAAAAAAACTGAGAACAGTGCTGTGAGAATGTTCTGTTCCTAGCTAAGTTTAATGTTATATTTAGTGTTAGTGAAAGGAGTGCTTTTTTTTTTCTAAAAAAAAGTGCTTATGAGTACTCTGTTTGATTTTTAAAAAACCACTGTAATGGCTTAATTTCTGACATTAGAAGTGTTTTAGCTCTGTGGATGGCTGTCAGAAAATTGAAACAAAAATGAACAAGTGACATAACCAATAAAATAATTGATAATTAAAATAATTAAATAATTAAAATTAATATTCAATAAAATATAGATAACTATAAAAATTTAATAAATTGTTATATTAATGATAAATAGTAAAGTATTGGACCACATCTTATTTAGGACTCCAGCTGAATTATAGTTTCACTCAAAAACTGAAAAGTAATTCAGCTGGGCTCCAGTTAAATTTAAGCCCTTAATATGCAAAGTAACATACTATTTCAAGCGTGATAGAAATAAATACCATTTTTTTTCCAGCACACCAGTGAAAAAAAGTAACATACTATTTCAAGCGTGATAGAAATAAATACCATTCTTTTTCCAGCACACCAGTGAATAATTAAAACATCTTAAATGAGAATACAGTACAAAGTCCGTAATCCGGACGTCCATTATCCGGAATGATCTATAATCCGGACCTCAAAGCCAGAAACGTTTTTTTGCATGCTTTACACATGAGCATAATGCATTTACGCATGTGTGTTTATGCATGCACATGCATGTTGGGAGGATGTGTCTCCAGATACGTTAAAAAATGCTTGGCACATTTTATGGCCAGCTACCATATTTCATGGTGAGGACAATGAAGATGATAGCTGTGACTTTGAAGGTTTTCGGACATCGCAAACTAAAGGTGAAATTTTCCAGTTATTGGATTTTGTAAAGAAATATGGAGAAGCGGTAATAAATGAAGATGATATAACAGAAGTTTTTCATTGCGAACGGCAATGCCCCAATCATGAATCAATTTACGGATGGCGAAATTTGTTGTATGGTTCTAGATCCAGAAAATACCGCTTTTGATAGTGAAGAAAGTGACAAAGAGTTTATTGAAAACAAAAAAATTTTGATTGACAAGTTAGTCGGTATTCTTGACACAGCAATTACAGGACTTGAACAGTGGAACTTCGTAACTGAACAAGAACTTATGTCTGTTTATAGAATTATAGAGAAAGTTATTAAACAAAAAATGAAGCAACTTAAACAACTTACATTGAAAGAAATGTTTAATAAAGTAAACAAATAAATATTAAGGTTTTTTTGTAAATTTTGATACCCTTTAGATCATAATTGCTCTTTATTTCATAAATTACAGTTTCATATTTTTAATTGTATAATTTCTGCATGCCATCTTACCAGATTTAAATTGATGATGTATAATCCGAAAAAACGCCTAATCCGGAATCGCCGAGGTCCCGACAAGTCCGTATTACAAACTTTATATTGTACTAGAAACTGTATGAGAGTATGGAAAGAAATTTTAATGGAGATGTATAGGTATAAAAACAGAGTCTAAATACAGCCTGTGACCCCCTACCAGTATAATTCTAACTGTCCAGAAGAATGTGATTGGCCAAAAATTTTCTTGATATCTGTGAACTGAGAACAAATACATGGTTCTATGTAAGTGACAATTTTCATCTGCTGTATTTGGTTAAAATAACGTACCAAGAGCCTGCAGGTGCTCTTCTTCATAGGAAGTCTCTAGTATTGGACTTGCATGACCAGGGTGATCACTTTCGGGAACAAAAAATCACCCCTTCTGATTGTAGCTTTATGTAAGACTTGTGAAAATTTAGTGTAAATATTGTTTCTGTTCAATTTTAATATGCGAGTTTATTTTAACTTTGAATGATTTCATACAAATATTTTGGATGATATTTAATTAATGTGTAAATCACCATATCTTTTAAATAGGCTACTTAAAGCTTATAATAAATCATGTCATTAATTAAGTAATACATATATGTAAACTGTTTTTTAAATTCTTTTATAAATTTTAAGTAATGTAATTGTTTTCTTACTGTAAAAAATAAAATATTCTGAACATTTGTTTGTTCTCATTTTTCCTTAATGTGGAATTGCTGTCATTAGGTGTTAGTTAGACTTACGTTGTGCCCAGGCTGTCAGATTTTTTTTATGATTTTTAATGCAATAAAATTAGAATATTGCAAAAAGGTATTGTTATAATATCCCTAATGAAATAGTGAATCTTCTTATAAATAGATAATATTAAAAATAAACTAGAAAATCAGGTTTTCCATTTTAAGGAAGAAAGTACATTTCCTTAGTAACATAGATATTTGTGAGACATCCTAATAGCTATTAAAGACATATTTTAAGTAAAGAAATAAAATTTGTTTGATGATGCAAAAATACACTCTTAGACAAAAAAAAAAAAAAAAAAAAAAAAAGCACCAAAAATGAGTTATCCGAATGGGACGAAAATCGGTAGAAGTGATGTACATGTACAGAAAAACAAATTATTACAGTTTGAGAAAAACTGGATGATTTATTGAAGTGATAGAGCTTTACAAAGTTAAAAAGGTCAGTAACACGTTTGTGCACCTCTGTCCTTTATGCAAGCAGTTATTCGGCTTGGCATCGATTGATAGAAGTTGCGGATGTTCTCCTGAAGGATATCGTGCCAAATTCTGTCCAACTGGCGCGTTAGATCACCAACATCCCAAGCTGGTTGGACGGCCCTGCCCATAATGCTCCAAATGTGCTCAATAGGAGAGAGATCTGGCGACCTTGCTGGCTAAGGTAATGTTTAGCAAGCAGTATATACATGTGCAGTGTGGGGGCGGGCATTATCTTGCTGAAATGTAAGCCCAGGGTGGCATGACATGAAGGGCAACACAACAGGCCTTAGAACTTCGTCGACGTACCGCTGTTCTGTATGGTTGTGACGGATGACAACCAAAGGGGTCCTACTATGAAATGAAATGGCACCCCAGACCATCACTCCTGGTTGTCGGCCTGTTTACCAGAAGACAGGTTGGTATCACGCCACTGTCCGTGGCATCTCTAGACTAGCCTTCACTGGTCATCGGGGCTCAGTTCAAAGTGGGACTCATCACTGAAGACTATTCTACTCCAGTCAGTGACATTCCAGTGAGAATGAGCCTGACACCACTGCAAACTGGCTTGACGTCGTACAGAGGTCAATGGTAGTCAGTGGAAGGGGCGTCGTGACCTCAGCCCTCTTTCTGTGAGCCATCTATAAATGGCCCTTGCAGTCACTGAAGCACTAGTTGCACATACAATCGATGATAATGATGGCTATGAGTGCCACTCTGACAATTGCTCGGTCTTCATTTTCTGTTGTTTCTGTAGGCCTACCTCTTCCTTCTTGACGCTGTGTGCGGCCATAGTTCACCCATTCCTGCCAACATTGTCTAATAGTGGCATTGCTCCTTCTGAAATGTTGAGCTATTCGCCAATAAGATGAAGCGGCTCCTTTGAGCCCAACTACATGACCTCTCTCAAATTCTAACATCTGAGCATATCGTTCACACACCCGTATGCGAGGCATAGTTATTGTCTACCAGAGTACACGGAATGAAATTTGTGAAGAATTTATGACCTGGAATCATCATTTCTCCTCTTAAATATCCTGCCAGTTGCGCAGATCAGATGCGCTGTAGCAGACAACCAATTCATTCATTGGCAACCAAAATGTAAAATTTTGCATTTTCCGTCAAAACCTGTATGCATATCAATTTGTGTCCAATTTGTTTATATCTTCTCGGTGGATCATGGTGCGTCTCTTTTTTTTTTTTTTTTTTTTTTTGTCTAAGAGTGTATCATATTCTTTGTAAAAGTTAATGCTAGATATTTAAAGCTTTTACTGGATTTTTTTTTCCAGTACACAGAATACGTTTGGAAATTTGTTGTTGGCTCATGAATGTGAACACTGGATCTAAATAAATCATTTAATTTATACTTTTATAACACAGGAGGGAAATGGACTACTTATCGGGTTATGGCTAAGGAAGCTGTTGATGCTGCAGTAAAAACCTGTAATTTGAACCCAAAAAATGAATGTGCAACTGATGGTCTTTTATTGGAGGGTGCAAGTGGTTGGACACCTAATATGTATATCAGGCTTGTTCAAGATTATGGTCTTGAAAGTGAGGTAAAATTTAATTTTTTGATGGGAATGCTAAAAACATTCCTTTCCTTAATTTATAACAAAATTAATTTTTTTGACTCCTTACAGGTAGCACAGCATTTAGCAAATACATATGGGGATCGTGCATTTGCTGTAGCCAAACAAGCTTCTTTGACTGGTAAAAGATGGCCAATAATAGGTCGTCGTCTTCATGAAGAGTATCCCTATATTGAAGCTGAGGTATGTTTAGACTTCCTTATTTTGAGGTATTGTGTGGATTCAAGCATACGTATGTGAAGAAATTAAAATATAGTATGAAATCCAAATTCTGTCTCAAATTACATAATCTTTCATTGCCTTATTGTATAGCTGTGGCTGCAAAGCGGTTGTTGATTTACTACTCACTATTGGTCAAATGCTTTAGCTCATGGTGGCATCTACAGGTCGAATCAGAAAGAAGTGTGATCTAACAAACTCACGATGGTTCTTTTGAGTACAGAACGTGGGTCTAAGTCTTGAGAGTGAAATACTTTACTGTGTCAGAAAAGAGCTCGCCAGTAGTGAATTTAAAAACTCTTTTGAATTGCTGTGTATCGGCTGGTTCTGTGAGCACCGCGCAATTATGTAAGAAGTGTAAGAGACAATGAAAACACTATACAGCTAAGGTTCTGAGAAGAGATGTGTGAATGTATAATAAAACTTCTCACTAAGTCTATGTTTCAGATAACTCAATTTTCCTTAAAATTTTGTTTAATATAATGCATTTTACTGTGAAGAAAAATTTCTCTAACTCAACACAGAAAATAGTCATTTCTTTAAATCATTTGAAGTTTATCTGCCTTTCAAAAATAATTTCCACCTTACAGTTTCCAAGGGAAAATAAAACCGACATTAATGTAAAAAAATGAAGTACTTGCATATTAGCCTTCAACTGTGGAAGTTGGTAGGGATCCCACCAAAGTTTTAACAATCATTCCTGCAGAATTTTGAAGTAACTGATGCATATTTTTTAATAAATACAGTCAAAAGTCGTTAATTCGGACCTCAAAGCTACAAACTTTCTGCGCATGCTTCGCGTTGACGCATGTGCGTAAGACCTTTACGGCTGCGAATATGCGTGTGCGCGTGCTCAAAATATGTTTACGAATGTGCTTTTAATGTATACGGACGGTATAAGCTAAGCTAAAATTATCTAATTATCTATTTCAGTTAATGTTGCAGATTGTGTTGTTCCTTAATCTTCGAATTGGATCCGACTTATTATTTTTTTGCAGACTGTTAGAGCAATTTTATGAAAGTAAGCTTGAACTTTCAATTATGTCAAATAGAATTTCTGATATATATTTACTAATATGTAAAGGATCTACAAAGCGAAAGTATGTTTCCATTAAACAAAAAGTGGAATTGCTGCAAAAAATGGATAAAGGCATATCCTTTGTTTATCTAAACTTTAACATTTGTTTATCTAAACTTTGATTATCTTTAACGCCGCGGCACGCAATGAATTGGAAGTTGATCTGTCAGCACTATCCTTATCTTCAGGGCAGATGTTTTTATTTTATTTGGCTTATAATTTTCTTACTAAATGTAGTATTTCATCTTGATGTACTCCGTCTTTGATATGATTTAAATAAAATTCCTCATCATTATAATTTGCTTCCGATAGCGAAAAAGTGACAGAGGTTATTGAAAACGAAAAAATTTCAATTGACAAATTAGTTGGTAGACACAGCAGTTATAGGACTTGAACAGCGGAACTTTGTAACTGAACAAGAAATTATGTCTGTTTATAGAATTAAAGAGAATGTATTATCACATAAAAAACGAAGCAACTTAAACAAACATTGAAAGAAATGTTTAATAAAGTAAACAAATAAATATTAAGCTTTTTTTTGTAAATTTTGATACCCTTTAGATCATAATTGTCTTTATTTCAGAAATTATGGTTTCATATTTTTAATTTTATAATTTCTGCATGCCATCTTACCCGATTTAAACTGATGATCTATAATCCGGAAAAATCGATAATCTGGAATCGCCGAAGTCCCGACGAGTCCAGATTAACGACTTTTGACTGTAATCAGTATTTGGTCCATTCTTTTTATGCAAAATTACTAAATGTAGTAATTTTGCATTTTCCATTTTGCAAAATTTTACATTTTGGTTGCCAATGAATGAACAATTGTCTCTACAGCGCATCTGATCTGCGCAACTGGCAGGATATTTATTTATTTATTTATTTATTTTTTGCAGATTTCTATTATTTTATTAGCTCTTCCAATTTCAGCAGAAGTTCTGGTTAGAACAGCAGTCGTCAACCCTTAGAACTTCACGGACCACTATATATATAATTTTATATTTGGCGGACCACTAATATGCATTTTTTTAAGGAAAAAAAGATCAATCAACAACTAAAAAAAAAAGGTTGAACCAACAACAACTTTGCAGCCACAGCAATGTTATAAGGCGATGAAAGATTATGTAATTTGAGACAGAATACGGATTTCATACTATATTTTAATTTCTTCACATATGTATGCATAATTGAATATTTATATAATACTAATCAGCGAACTACACGTATTTCATTCATATTGAAAAATTATATGAATGTATAAAAATCTTACCTTCTTCCATATTGCTGAAAAGGAGCTTTGCAAAAAGCAAAAACAAACCGGCAAATGCAAAGCAATATCAGTTAACTGATATTGTTATGCCGTGAATTTTTGATTATTGTATACATAATAATCATCGCTTACTCAGCAATGGCGCAATCGATCAACAGTTAGGCAAAACAAAAAAGGAAACTTCCAGTGATGCAGTTATAAACAAGAATGTAGACGGTTCTCATAAAAATCCATCAAGTTTTCTAATTGACACGGAGAAAAACTGTGTTAGTAATGACTACAATAGCATATGTTTTTGATTCAAAAGGAAAGAGAATTCCGGTTCATGCTGTTATTGATAACAGCAGCATATCCATGGCTGCCGATTCTCATTTTCAAATGTCGCTAGATACACCTGCAAAAGTAGCTAAAATGTCGCTAAATTCAAAAGGAATTTCACTAAAAGTAGCGGCTAAAATTAAAAAAAGTATAATCCATATTCCATAATAGGTTTTGTTACTCGTTATTTTTAAAACTGAATCTTCATAAATATAACTGTCCCAATTTTTCAGCGCACCATCGAAAAGTTTTAACGGACCAACGGTTGGCGACCACTAGTTTAGAACCCTGAGCACAAACTTGTCACAGATAACTGCTCCAATCTGTTACTGTTTCAGTGGTCATATTCAGTTTACCATATCATGTCCATTAATGCATACTTTATTTATGGTAAACTTCCAAAACTTTGAAAATAATCCATTGCTTCACATTCTGTAGCAGGCAGGACTCAAATTTTATTTTTAAAATACAAGAAAAACGTACAACAGTAGCATTTAATTTATATCCTTTTTAATAAAAACAAACTGTGGCTTTTTGAGAATTAGTAGAGGTTACATGGAATGAAGATGTTAGGAAATTGAAGCTATAGACCACAGCTTGGCGGTCAATGGATAATACATAAGTGCCAATGAAGGTTCAGAATTTGAATGGTATTTGGCAGTGCAAATGATTTTGCTACTGTGGAGGTAATAAGCAAAAACGAAAAAAAGCAAAAGCAAAAAAGTATAACACAGCCTTATAAGTACATAGAAATTCCTCATGAGAAAGCCCAGGGAACAAACATCCTAAAATGTAAAGATCATCCTATATTTTTCATGGAACTAATTCAATTCAATCCTTTAATTCATTTGAATCAATGGAAGAAGATGGACATGGTGTTCATCTCATAAGCTCATCTCATAGGCTGTCTATGAATGTTTAGTTATGTTTCTTATTGTAGCCACTTCAGAATTTCCATGATTCATGTGGTCCTTTATAGTCTAATTCTGTAAATGATTTGAGAAGTGTCCTTTAATTTTACTCATATGACATTTCCATCTTCTTTCTGTGACTACCATACTGAGAGTGAATTAGCATTTTGGATGAATACAAAGTCCCAATCATGTCACTTGTTAATGGAGTAATCACGTTTCAGCATAGTAAATAACAAGGAACAATAGCTATGCTAGAATGAAAGTTTCCTATTTGTTCTTCTCCCAGTCTTTCAAAACAGATGTTTTGAACAAGAATATGACTACTTGAGTCAAAAAAGAAGCTTATTGAATTTAGATCTTGATCTTACAGCCATACTTCAACATACTGTAATAAAAATGTGACTTTACTGTAACAAAAGTCACATTTTTGTTACAGTATTTTGAAAGGAATGTCATGAATGTATGAAAGGTCAGACCTCATCTGATTGAAGGTCACACTTCCATGCATTGTTATCAATGAATCCAGAAATTTTTTGATAATATGCATTTCAATTTGATGACACCAAATGCTATTTCCATGTATTATATTCTTTTTAATTAATTAATGAAGAATTTGTTTGTGTATGTATGTTCCTTGCATTGTGTAAAACAAAGCATCTAGTGCAACCAAATTTTTAATACACTTTGACCTTCACTCGAACATGTGCACCTCACAACTTGAATTTTGAATTTTTTTTATTTATTTCATATTTTGTATAAATTTAATGAATTTGTAATCGACAAACTCAGCAGTTTCAAAACTAGAAGTGGCAACACTGTCTGAAATAAAGCATTTTGGTCTCCAACCTGCCAGACTGTTGCCATTCGGCAAAATGTATGTATTTATCTTTCAATTTTATTCAGCAAACTCGGCTATTTGAAAGCAGTATGTTGCCATGGCCAGAATGCTTTTATTTTCTCTCCCCAGAAATTGTAATTGTACACATCTTAATACATTTTGTGTAGATTATTAGTAAAGCATGGCAGATGACTTAACTCATACTGTGCAAATTGTTAATAAAGCATAACGGATAAGATGTTAGAACTTGTTTTCTGTGAATTATTGATAGGCAGGTTTTATGGTGACAACATGATTTTTGTTTACAGTAAATTCCTGAATAGTTCCTTCCTTCTCATGATAGAACAGGATATGAATAAGAATTGTTTGCAGATATTTTGTAGACTTGTTCCTCTGAGAACGAGCTAACTGATAATTCTAGTGTTGACAAAATTATATGCCATCCTAGGACTTTTTTCTAACCAAGAATTTCAAGCAGTTATTATTGAACCACAGATTTGGATGATTCAGATTCTGAAGAAGGGTCATCAGTAGAGAATCCACCTGTCTTGGAAGAGTTTTTAGATGGCTGAGGAATAAATACAGAAAATGTTCTGCATAGTGTAGCACTACACTTAAATATCAAATTTATCACTGACGAAACCATAAAAAAACTTAACAAACTCTCCAGTGCTTCGTTAAAGTCTGAATCTTTTAAGATTTTCTTTTTTTCCTTTTTTTTTTTTTCGTCAGGGAGTGGTGTTTCTATTTGCTTTATACACTGAGGAGCCAAACTTATGACCATCCCCACATTTTTCGAAGACCTTGTCTGGATAACATGGATGGCACATGATTAAGGGGGAATGGTATTTAACTGCTGTTGGAGAGGGTAAGGAATCATTCTTTCACTTACTTTTGCAAGTGATGGGAAAGGCTACTGATTTTAGCACATTTGATCGATGGCAGATTGTAATAGGCCAAAGACTTGAAATGAGGATATCCAAAACTGCACAACTGGTAGGTTGTTACGATCTGCGATTGTTAGTATGTATGCAAAGTGGATAAATGACAGTGAAACCAACAGTAGACACCAAGGTGTTGGACGTCGACGCATCATCAAAGAAAAAGGACATTGGAGGCTCTCCTGCTTAGTACTGCAAAACTGGTGCCAGACAGTGGCTAAGCTGACAGCCCAACACTATGCAAGGTCCAAGTGCAAGTGTTTCAGAACACACAGTTTAGCAGACACTGTTGGATATGCAAGTGTGCAGCAGATGTTCCACTCATGTTACTCTGTTGACCAAGCATCATTGTCTACAGTGGGCCCGGGAACATTGAGACTGGACCATGGACAGGTAGAAGACAGTTGCCTGGTCGGATGAATCATGATTTCTCATTGATCACGGTGATGGTGGTGTCAGGGTATGCTGTCCTCCATGCGAACTGTTGCTCCTCCCTGTACATCAGGTCATACACAGATTGGTGGTAGCAGTATTATGCTTTGGGGGATGTTCTCATGGTCGGCTTTGGGACGCTTGTTTGTGGTAGAACATATCATGAAAACTGCAGATCAGTTGCAACCTTACATGGCATCTGTCTTTCCAGCTGGAAGTGGAATCTTCCAGCAGGACAGCGCCTCTTGTCACAAGGCCCAAATTGTGTTGAAGTGGTTCAAGGAGTATGAGGATTAATTCCAATTAATGTCTTGGCCACCTAACTTGCTGGATCTTACCTGTTATAATACATTTGGGATGTCATGGAAAGGCAGCTCAGAGCTCAAACACCACCATGTTGCAATATCTTGACTTTGGATTACCATTGCTTAGATATTTGGTACAACATCTCCAGTCATCTTCCAAGAACTTGTGGCATCTGTGCCAAGCCAAATTGCAGCTGTTTTGCTAGCCAAAGGTGGTCATAATGTTTTGGCTCTTCAGTGTATTTCATAAGTTTAACTTTATGTGCTGTGTTACAATTTTTATGAAGTAGATTTTATTTAAAAAAAGTTGTGGAATTCTCATCAGAATTTATTTTCAGGTACGTTATGCTATATATGAATATGCATGTACAGCGGTAGATGTCATTGCCCGTCGCTTGCGTTTGTCATTTCTGAATGTGCAAGCCACTGAAGAAGCTTTACCATCCATAATCTCTATTATGGCAGATATTCTTAAATGGAACAAGAGCAAACAAAAGGTGCAAATATTGTATTTGAATTATTTCTTGCCAGTTTTACAGTAGTACTCTAAATTAATACACAATTTCATAAATATTGTTTAAAAATGGTATGAAATAGTTGTGCATTAATTTGATTCAGTTAGCTCAATTATTTATAATTTGTAAATAAGGAAAATATGCATGATTAAGGTCATGTATATGTATAGTAAGATTTACCTATGCAGGGTGCCTGTGGTTTACCTGTAATATTAGATTTTCTATATAGGTCCTTAATTTTGTGCCCTATTGTATAACTAAGCATAGACTGTAATTTCAATATATGGCAGTACTTGTGAAAGATTCTAATAAGCTGAAAATATGTAATGGAATCTTAACAGGTATTTAATATCTTAATACCATTTAAAATAATCTATCAATGTTCAAAATAAATACAGAAGTAAAACTTTTATGAGTAAGAGGTTTGTCAAACAAAATTAATTTCAATTTCTAATTATTAACTGCATAACTTATGTTCTTTAAACTATAGTAACTCATAATAAATATGAAATAAATTCATTATCATATACAGAGGGTGTTCACACATTTTTGTAACAATTTTGATTTTTAATGAATGAATTAAAGTTTTAATTTTAAAATACAAATGTGACTGGCATCAAATTGGAATAAGGTTTAATTATCATCTGCAGCATTTAAAATATTATTTTCCTTAAAATGTCACAGAAAAATAAAAAAATGAACCGAAGGCTATATTTTTGTGTTGTCCGAAGAAAAATACTCTTATTCAGTTATTAAAAAAAGATGTGAAAAGCATGATTTAAATGTTTCTATGCATAAAATAAGTGACATAATTAATATGAAAGGAAAGAAATGTCAAAGTTTACATCTGAGTGCAAAAAAGCAAAAAATGCATACCCACCAAAGGTACATACAGCTCTTATTAAATCTAAAGTCGCATCTTGTATTTTAAAGGAAATTCCAGCCCCAAAAAAAAGCTATTGCAAAATCTTTAAATATGTTTGTAGGAACTGTGAACAAAATTGTAAGATCTGATTTAAAGCTAATCAAAACAGAAAACATGATGTTCATCTCCTAAGGCCGAAACATGTTTCTCAGTGTAAGACTACATGCAGATTGCTGTGTGAAAATTATTTGGCAGCTGAAAATAGAAATATATAATTACAAATAATGAGGTTTGGATAAACTTATCTGATTGCAACAGAAAAAGATCGATATACTACCGGAAAAGAGGAGAAAAAGCCTTAATATGTTGGTTCAGAGAAAAAAGGGGAAAGTTTTTCTAAAGGTTTTATGGTTATTTCTGGATTCTCTTATGATGGAAAACTTAAAATAACGAAAGTAGAAAATAATGTCAAAATTAATTCGAATTACTATCAGAAATATGTTTTAGCACCCAGTTTTAAAGAAGAAATTCCATCTCTTTATCCAATCTTCACTGTGTAAAGTTCCGTCAGGATAAGACTCAAAGGCCATACCTCAAAATCTACTGCTCTATTTTTTGGAAAAAGGAGAAATGAAACCGGAATTGAAACATTTCCTTTAAATGCTTCTCACCCAAGTTCCCTATTATGTCTCCTATGGATTACTGTGCATTTAGACTTCTAAAACAAGCTCCTTATAAGCGGCATCCCAAAACATTGGATGAACTGTATAAGATTGTGAAGGAGGAGTAAAATAAAATCAATCTTGATGTTTTAAGAAAAGGACTTTTATCTCGGAAATTAAGCTGTAGTATGACAGTTCAACAAAAGGGCTCTCAGATTGAACATATTAAAAAATAAAATTCTAAGGTTTGTTTATCTATCAACCTTTGCAAAACTGTTACAAAAATCTGTGAACACCCTCTGTATATTAAACTATATCTAACATGATGTACTTGCTGTTCATGATAACAGCTGTTTGTGACTTGAGTAAAAATTTCTAGGTGGAGTTGCATGCTATAAATTATGGTAATGCATTTTTTTATTGTTCTAGACTAGTTTACATTTTCTAACTTTATGATAATCAGGTTAATGAGTTCAGAATAAATCAGGAAATATAGTGTGTAAAAAAAGTGCACATGACATGTCTGTTTCTAAATTGTTCTCATGATATGAAGATAAATATTATTGCAGATTTGGGACTTCTGTTTGTTACAAGGTGCTTCTGGTGTAAATTTCCATTCCCCCCTCCTCATTCTGCTGTATATTTTGTAGAATGTTTGGTTTCATCACGTTATAAGAGCAAATCATTAAAAATTTTCCCAAAGAATAATGACACATAACCTTAATTTGAAGATTAGACATAAATTTTGGAACTTTAGTTAGTTAAAGGTATCAAGCAGGATGTGCACACTTATCTTGCGGGCTGCATTTTTTATCACATCACATTTTTGTGAATAAATAAATTTCTGTTTCATGTGGGAATTACTTCCTGTATTTCTCCATTCTGTGCCTATCCCCTAAAATGTCTTAATTTAATGGATCATTAATACTTGATGACTTAACTCTAATTTTGAATTAAACTAAGTTACCAAGCTTCTTTGAAAAGTTGCTGTTGATACTTTCCACTATATATCACTGACAACAAGCACTGGAGATAATTACTAGAAACTAGATAAGTAGAGACTATTGAGATAATGGATTGTATGAACTTAATTTTTTTCAAGCATATGCTCACATTATTTTTATTCAAATTTAGCTTCTATTCTAACTTAGAAAACATCTGTAGGGCAACTGCTTTATGTACTAAAATTCTAGTTGTACTGCAGATGCTTAAGCATGCTTGAACACAATGCCTGCAATTGCAATGTTTACAAAGTATTCTTCACTGTTTAAGAAATTTTTCAAATAATACATGAACGTTATGACATATTATGGATTCAGAAATATCCAATCCAAACTTGCTTAGCATTTTGAAAACACTGTATGAAATACTCATTGAAAATTTACTAATTTAATAAGTATAAAATTATTGATTTTATATTATTTAACTTAACATTTATCACCATACTATCCATCAACCATTCTATTCGAAGTCCATTTAAGAGTACGTGAATTATCTTAACCCATAATGCTAAATCTCCATATGAACATTATATTCCTAGAATATTTGTTTGCAGTGCTGTTGCAATTTGTTCAAGTAACTTCAATGTCATTCTTTTCAAACTAAACACACAATTTTCATTGTTTTGTGTCATTTTTCCAGTTGATTTTCATTTAAACTAGTTCAAGTAGTCTAAATGATAAAATTTATTGATTGATCTCTTTATCAAAACATGAGCAGGTATTAAAACAAAAAATCATCCTGTAAAGTATCCTAGCGAAATGGATTAAGCCATTTTAAATTTAAAACTTTTCCCAATTTATAAGGAAATCTTCGTTACGTTAAAATGCTTGTCCCTACAGCTCTGTTGAAATGATATGTGAATGATTTTATTGTGGCTTCCAAAAAACTTCCGAAATTAGGTTCCCTGTTTTATCTTTAAATAGTTTTCTTCTTATATATTCTTTGTAAAAAGTAAAACTGCTCTATCGGTTTATAATGAAAACTATTTTTTTAAAAAAGCTTCATCTCTCCTCTTTCCAGAACCTTCTTTTCACATTTGAAAATTTATTTTCACAGTTGTAAGAGACTTTCAAAACTATAAGGCTGCTCTTTCTGCTTGCTTTTATTCCAATTAGTGTTTCTAGTTTTTCTTTAGCACTTAATTTGCATTGCATGCTTTTTTGTAACATTAAAAGAGTATGTGTTATAGTCAGTGACCAATAATCAGTCCACCTCACGCTCGAAGGATAATCTACTTTTTGATGCCATGCACATTGTTCTTGAATGCAACAACAAAAGTTCTCTATTACTTTGGTGAATTTGAATACAATATATAAACTGTTTTCTATCCTCTTTTAGTCTAGAAAGCCGTGGGAGTACCAGCTGTCATCCGTCATTTGCAGGTTTCTAAAAATGCAACAATGTAATATGGGAAATTAAGAGGTAAACAAAATGCAACTGGAATGGTTTTGGTGCTCCTCTTTATTCAAGAAATGTGTTATTTCAAATTCTCATAATGTCTCTGTCAGCTAAGTAACATAAGAAAATGCATAAGATAGCTGCCTGTAGTATAGAGTAAGAGTAATATACATACTGAAGTACATTGTGATTAAACTGCTCTGAATATCGATGTCACCTGTTGTGTAATAAAACTATGCAGACAAGGGATAAATTGAAACTAAAGGCAAAATTAGAAGTTCTGGGAAAGACATTAATGTCTGTCTGTAAAGACAGTCAAGTTGTTAAGACACAGCTAGCTGGGGAGCAAACATAAGAACTCCCATGGAGTTAATGAAATATTCACACATGATGAAAGACGTAATGCATATTATTTTGTTTTATTGAATGAAGCAAATGGTAGTATGTACTCGGGGATGGCATATGCAGTTATGCCCATAATAAGTGAGCAAATTTAAAGCCTTTGTTGTCAGTTCAAGCAACTCTACATCATTTAATTTTGGGTTGCCTGATAGGTTCAAAGATGCATAATGTCAGCAAAAGCTGACTAAATTTGCACTGCAGAATTTTGTGTAGTGTTCAAGGACTTCTCATACACAGTAATTTCATATGGATCTCTTAACAAAATACAGACGGGCTTTTAGATTTTTCAGTCTTCAGAGGAAATATCACCAAGTTTAAGTAATGAAATTATGAATATCCTTTAATTTTACCAGCAGGAAATGACATAACAGGACTTAGCTGTTACATATCTCCTAATGAAATGATGTGCTGCAATAATTCCTGCAACACTTTTTCTTTCAACTTCGCAAATGCCATGTAACATTGTCTCACTTTTCTGTGACACCCTGTATAAAAAAGTGCACTATAATGACATGAGTATGTTGAGAGGAGGTGGTATTATGTTTGGCCGTCCATTTGCCATTATTCATATTTGATGGGGTATGTGTGATCATTGCTTGTTGTCTAAGTATTGTGTGACTTCATTTGATCAACTTAAGATTTATTAGATGGCAATTTTTACTCTACGCATAAAAACTGAGACACACGTGACCACTTCACTTTCATGTTTGATTCATGAACTGCGAGTTTTTCTGTTTTTATAACAATATAAATACATGAATTACATTCATTGTTGAAAATTGTGTCTTCCAGTTTAAGACTGTGAAATTTTTTAGGTAAGCTTGCTAAAATTATATGAATACATTCATTTTAGATGCTAGCAGAAATTTAAATTAATTCTTGGTAAATAGGAAAAGGATTGCTATAAAAGTAGTGTAAAAGAAAACAGAAATTAGAAAAGGGGGAACATAAAACAACTCTTAGGTTATTTAAAAGATATAATATATTTTTATTCATAACTGTCATATAAAATATTTAAAGCTATGAGCAGGTGTTTAAACTTCAGAGAACTAAAATGCTGTTAAATATGTGCTTTTTAATTAATATGAAGAAAAATATGTGAATAAGCATTTAGAGAGATGTTCAAAATAATTATTTTGAATATGCTGTAGTTAAACCTTAAAAATTTGAATTTAATAAGGCGTATGAGAACCTTGTCATACTATTGTATATTTTTAATAATAGTATTTAACTTCAATATTTTTTAATAAAATGTTTCTTTCAAACACTAATACTGTTTAATGGTTATAGAACCATTGTTATTGTTGACTAATGCTCACTTGTCCGACCTATAGTCAGCACAAGCCCACGAAATTCCTCGTGGTAAGGAGCACAAGATTACACCTGTCATTGGCATCATACAGGTGACATTGACACTTAGCTCAGTTCCACCCCCAATTTTGATGGAGAGCACCTCAGGGAGATGGGTCCGAGGGTCCCCTACCACCAACCTCTCAAGAGGAATTTTGGCTTGCCGCAAATTTAGAGTGCCTCCATGCCGCACGAACACTATACATTTACAAACATCCATGCCTTCTCTAGGATTCGAACCCGGGCCCTTCAGCACAGCAGTCAGCAATGCTAACCACTACACTGGTTGGGTGGCATAGTACCATGGGTTCCTCTATGTTATTGGTCTTAAGTGTTTGAGCAGAGTAGCATCAAATGCTCTTTTGCAGTGATGATAACCTGTGATAATTCCATACATTTTGTTGTTGGTTACAAGGGTAAAATCAGCTGGAAATTGAATACAAAGTATAAATTTAAGTACTGTACCATGATTTACCAAAACTATAGCTTTTTTTCAATTCATTCATCCACTTTTGATCAAAATGCTTTTAAAAACCTATAAAATACTGTGATTGTACCTATAAATAAAAGAAATGTTTTGTTTGATTCTTTGAATGTGTTGTTCTTAACTCTTTAACAGTATTGTTATTTTCTGAGTAATTGTTATCAGTAAAATGTTTTAAGCTTTGTCATTCTATTTCAAGTTTTGTTCATTGAAATAACTGATTTAAGAGACAGTCTTATATTTAGAACAAATTTGCAATAGGTGAAATGAGCTGATGATGAAAGTATGCTTTCTATCTGGAAGTATCAAGGTTATGCACATATCTTCCTAGGGAAAATTGTAGGCACGTTTTCCTGTAATAGGAAGGATATGCTTTTTTGTTTTAATATTAATAAAAAGAGGTTTGGGAAGGCAAAAATGGGGCAAGATATTATTTCCATTTTACATCTTGGTCTCAACTTTCAGTTTATCAAAGGATAAAATTAAATCCTACACAAATTTCAAACACTTGATCCCAATTGTTTTAAGCGAGTCCATTTTTATCAAATCAAGAGTATATTATGCTTAGTTATTAAGTTGTTTGTTATAAATGTAACTGAGAAGTGCAGTGTGAATATATTTATTCTGCAGAAATGTAACAAAAAAGAGTTTTTTGATGCTAATCTTAGTTTACTTTGTCATGTTGTCCTATTTTTATAATTTGTACATTTTTTAACTCTTTGCATACCATTGGCGCCAATAATGCAACATTTAAAGTATGAACTTTAAATCCACTTTTGCTAGCATGGTGACCCACCTGTTTTGCTTACTTGAACACTTTTGTTGTAACATCTAAGAGACAGGAAAAAAATGTGAAACTGATGATTTTTGTGATAGTTGCCCCTGGAAACCCTGCATTCTTTCTTATATGTGATTTTTTCCAAAAATACACTCACGTTTGTGAAAATTGCAACACCATGAAGGACTTACGCGAGTGAGCTGAAATTTTCAGGAAATGCAAAGTAGCGCATGATATGCAAATGATTAGAATTGCAAATCCGTAGCGCATGCGTATGCTGAGCAGCGCCCTCTGAACGGCTAATGGATCCGAATAAATAGACGGCTGTAGCGAGGCATGTATGGTTATCGGTGGTTATCTGCTAGTGGTAAACGTTAACTCAATCTGTACTTATGCCTCGTCGACGAAAGAGAGCGAGATTTGAACAACTTACAGAGTTTGAACGAGGGAGAATCATCGGCCTTCGTGAAGCTGGATTGTCGTATCGTGCAGTAGCCTCTCGTGTGCAGCGTAACAGCAGCACAGTGATGCGCGTTTGGAAGCAGTGGACGGACGAGTGTCGGACAACTCGGAAATCCGGGAGTGGACCCCCGAAATGTGACGTCAGCTCGCGATGATAGACACCTGGTCCGCATGGGCGCGGACGGACCGTACAGCTTCCTCTAGACAATTGGCAGCACTGTGGTCAATAGCTACAGGTGTTTCATTGTGTGCTTCATCAATTCGTAGACGTCTGCTGCAGTGTGTACTGCGCGCACGGACTCCTTTATACAGGATCCCCCTAACGCACGACCATCGCCACCTGCGGCTACAATGGGCCAATTAGCATAGAGACTGGCGTGCTGATTGGCAGCATGTCGTGTTTTCTGACGAATCCCGCTTTAATTTGTGGTACCATGATGGCCGCATTCGGGTCAGACGCTATGGCCGGTGAACGCCACCTTCCGGAGTGCATTATCGAACGCCACAGTGGACGAACACCCGGAGTTATGGTCTGGGGTGCCATAGCATATCATAGACGATCTCAATTGCTACGAATTGTGGGCAATCTGAACAGCAACCGGTATATCCGTGAAGTTCTACAGCCCGAAGCTGTTCCCTTCCTTCAAAGCTTGCCAGGTGCTGTATTTCAACAGGACAATGCCCGCCCTCATACTGCTCGGAGTGTTAAATCATTCTTTGCAGCGCAGCAGGTACAGCTTCTTCCTTGGCAAGCGTGTTCCCCGGATATGTCGCCAATTGAACATGTGTGGGATGTCATTGGTCGGCGTCTTGCTCGTGATCCTCGTCCTGTTGCGTCTGCAGACGAACTTTGGGTACGCGTACAAACAATATGGAATGCTCTTCCTCAGTCAGACATTCAAACTTTGTTTGACTCCATGCCACGTCGTGTAGCAGCACTTATTGCGGCGCGTGCTGGCCACACAAAATACTGATTCTGATATCTTGTTTGTTTGCTTTGAACATTTAATCAACTGTGTATTAAATTGCATTCAATTATGACGATTCCTTCTTGGTGTTGCAATTTTCACAAACGTGAGTGTATATTACCATGACAAATTACAAAACACAAAATTTTCATTTTGTTGAAGATATAAACTTGTTTTATATAATGTAGCTAAGGAATAAATATCTTGTTTTATTGCAAAATTATATTTGTACACTTGTAGCTAATATAGTGCTGGAATTGTTTGTGTACCATATGAGTCACTCAAATCGAGTGCAGAGAATTAAAAATGTAATGATTTGCTGCTAAAAGAATGGTGTGTGGTTTATATGTATATTAACTGTGTTTTGCAAATGATTTTCTGATGTAAAATATGTGTAGAAATTTCCATTTAGGTTTTCAGCACAAATCAGATGCTTTATTTCAAGTTATTTAGGCTTGAATTTTTTAAAACTTGATTGGATTTTGTGTTTGCCTGATGTAATAATTTTCTGTTAACTATTTTTTTATGAGTAATACCTAAGAAACTTCCCGAACTTTTCCCAAACCATTTTGATATATAAAATTAATAGTAAATTTCTTTGTTCCTAAGGAAGAATATGAAAAAGCTATAGAATTTCTGCATACAGAAATGGGACAAGATGTGAATCGCAGATCAAGAGTATCACCTGTCAATTTTTCAAAAGATGAAATTAAAGCCTATACAAACAAATTTCAGACACTTGATAAAGACAAAAAGGGATATATTACTCTAAATGACCTAAGACAAAATTTGAAGGTAAGCTCTTTTCGAAAGTATAATCAGGTAGTGAACAAGCTTATTCTGGGAAAAATATCTGAAATATTTTAAAATTAAATTCAGATTTGTTAAGCTTTTATCGTTGTGAAAATTTTGCCTACATTTTTCATGTAAAATCTTAATTTTGCCTTGTAATCTCAGCTGCTTTTTGCCTACCATATTAAAAAAAAAAAAAAAACATAGTTTGCACATTAACTAAATTTGCATAATATACTTATTTTTTGACAGGATTATGCTAAACCTGTGCAATATATTGTAGAAATATTTTTATTCTGAAGTATTCAAATATTAGTCATTCAGTCATTCATTACATTTTTATATAAATTCTTCAGATAATGTTACGAACCATTTTTATAGATGGCATTTCAGGCACCACTGTATTTATGCATTAGATTTTTTAGCTTAAATTTATACAAGAGCCTTCACATTATGAAATAAGCTTTAAAGGATGGCCTTATTTCTCTACTTATTTCCTTTTTCCCATGAAAATTTAATAATAAATGGTGAATTGAAAAACTTTTGTTGTACTGATTAATGCAAAATGGTGTGATGTAAAGAATATCAATAAAAGTTTGGAAGCTTATAATTGGCAAATATGAAATTAAATCTTAGATACGTTCAGAAAAGCTTTGCTTGGCATGAAGTCAATGTGCGTGGTAATCACTTACAGCAATTAAATGAAATAGTACTAGCTATTTCTTTAGGCAATTAATTAAATCCATATTTTCTCCCCTATGTTACATAGATTTTTTTATACTAATTTAGTAGTTTTCAATGATAAATTTGTTTTAAATATAGCAGTGGTGTTAAAATAAATTAGAAAAGAATTATTGCTTTGAAGAAGTACTATGCAGGCATTGGCATCCGTGTAATATAATCCGAATTTTTTTATACAACTTGTGTAAAGTTCTGCTTATTTTAAATGATAAATAGTACAGTTTGGCTTTAGAGATTAATATTTTTAGTAAGCTTTGTTAGCCATAACATTAGCTTATGATAAATCATAAAATTTGCATTCCTACCATAATTTCAAGAAAAATGAGAGCAAAACATGTATGTGTTTAGGAGGAAAAAAGTATTGTCACTTAGGTTATCTGATCTATGCCAAGAACTAAGAAAGTACTTAGTTTTCAATCATATATTTCATGAGGGCAGGAAGTAAAAGGAAAGGCCCTAACTGGTTTTTCCCATGTACCTCCTTGAAACAGTGGCACACCCCTCATGGAGATCAAAACCATTCAGTGACTTGCCATTAGGATCAATGGGTTTTGGCATGATCAGAGGTAAACATTGTGTAATTATGTCATAAATATACGTATAAATGTATATATTTTCTTTTTCTAAAATATTCCAAAGTCCAAAGTATGTGAAAAGAATACATTTTTAAATGACATTTCATTCTGAACAAAATTCAATGATGTAGTTTTCCCAGAACAGTTTAATTTCAATGAAATATTTTCACAAATTTTCATTAATTACATTAGAAAAAAATTTATGGTAATTCTAATTTATTCAGTTAATGATTACAAAAATTAAGATCAAAGTTTATTGTGTAATTAATATTAAACCTATGTATTATTTCTTTTCAATTTACAGATTATTCCTGAAATATTTTTCTCATAAATTTCTAGCTTCTTAGACATCCTTTAAATCAAAAATTGGAGTTCCTTTATAATTAATGCTCTGTTCAGGTCATTTCAAATTACCTTTTATTTAATAGTGAAATATGTGAAATATTGCTGCTGATTTCCACGTACTTTCTATGAATATTTCTGAAAGGGAATATCTTCTTCCCTGTCACCTTCAAGTGGGAGAAATTGGTACGGATTTTCACCTTTCTTACCTTCCTCAGAGGCTCACTCTTGTGAGTATGGGTGTGGCAAACCCGAGGTACCCTAGCCCTTCAGGGGATCATCTTCTTGGTGAGACGGGTATTACCATCCTGGAGCCCCAGTGATCTTTCTTCTTTTTCGTCTCCTCTCCTCTTTGCGGGAACTTTTTTTGGTTCTCTTCTCCCTTGTGGTTTCTCTCTTCGGAGTTTGGGGCTCGTCAGAAGAGAGTAGAACAGCCCTTGTCTCATGTTTTCGAGTGGCGAGAAAACTGCCCAAGTGTTTGCCGTGCGTGTAGATCTGTATCGCAGGAAACGAGGGTCCTATTAGTTGAGGGGCGAGGTACTGTCCGTAACACACTGCTTTGGCCTCTGCTTCAGCTAAACAGGAGGCACCTTAGTCATCTTCACGGGTGTCAATCGGCTGGTCACTAGTCCTTGTGGTCAGTGGGTTGGGGATAAGCTCTCGGGAGTTCCTGCTTTCAGGAAAGCTGACTGTGGGGCTTCAGTTTGCGTAGAGGTCTGGCTAGCCCTAACACAGGAATCTGTGTTCCCTTGTTGGGCTCCATGGTGGGCGGGGCCGTTGGACCCGAAATTTTTCTCTTTGAATCATGGCTTCACTTTTCATCTTAAAAACACCTGACTCAAATGAAACAAACCAAGATATAGAAACAATTGAGAAATCTATTTGCAAGAAAATTCATACCGATGCAAATGCCAAAGAAACTACTGATTGTCCACGCTTTGTTGTTGTTTCAAATGCCTCTGGAGAGTTGCAAAAGATGTCTCTTTTTCTGGTAAGCAAGCATATTCATTCATGCATAGGTGAGCCAAGGAACATAAAGCATCTCCGTTCTGGATACCTGCTTATTGATACCATTTCGGCCATTCAGTCTGCTTCACTTTTGCGTCAAACCAAACTTGGACGAGTACCTATAACTGTGTCAGCTCACAAAACATTCAACTTCTGTAAAGGCATGATCTCGGAAATTGACCTTATGTTCGTTTCAGAAGAAGAGTTCGTTTCGGAGTTAGGTGACCAAAAGGTTTGTGCTGCTAAGCGGATCAAGAATCAGTTGATTGACACAAAACACATGATCCTGACCTTCAAATTGCCTGATCTGCTAAAGAATATAAAGTCTGGGCATCTGAACTCTCTCGTAATATTGAGGCAGCTATGCTTTCGATTCTCAGAACATCAGGAAAAATACTAAAATATATGAAACCATGGTGGAATCGTGAGTGTCATAAAGCACGGAAAAAACAGAAAAAAGCATGGGGAATTTTTCGTAGATAACCTACTCTGCAGAACCTTATAGCATTTAAAAAAGCCAAAGCAAATGCACAAAAAGTAAGAAGGCAGAGCCAGAGGCATTCCTGGATTTCGTATGTGTCATCCATAACATCCTCTATGCCTAGTAAACGGGTTTGGTAAACAGTTAAAAAAGCATGTGGAATATATAAAGACCACTCACTTTCCTACTTTCCTTTCTGGGAAAAGATGGCCGAGTGATTAGCTTCATAGAAGAAATTGCGAATACTATTGGTGAGACATTTGCTGCCATTTCTTCCAGCAGAAATTACTCACCTGCATTTCTTTCTATCAAGCAGCACTCTGAGAGAAATTCCCATCGCTTTCAACTCTTCCAACTTTGAACTTTGAGCTTTATAATAGAGATTTTACTGTGCTAGACTTAAAGAGAGCTTTGTTACAGACTCATAGGTCTTGTCTGGGTCTGGATGGCATATATTATGAAATGCTGAAGCATCTGTCCTATAAGTCACTGACTGCCCTTCTCACTCTTTACAATAGGGTGTGGAAGGAGCTTACTACTCTTTACAATAGGGTGTGGAAGGAGCTTACTTTTCCCAGCGCATGGAGGAGAGCTGTTGTGATTCCTATTGTTAAACCAGGGAAAGGCCCAAGGAATCCCTCAAACTATCAGCCAATTGCCCTTACCAGTTGTGTATGCAAACTGTTTGAAAAGATGGTATACAGCCGCCTAGTCTACTTCTTGGAAAAGAATAGTATTATATCGCCTTATCAAAGCGGTTTTCGAAAGGGGAGAATGACCGTAGATAACATGCTCATCCTAGAGACATCCATTCGAAAAACTTTTTTAAGAGGAAATCACCTTGTCTCAATATTCTTTGACATTGAGAAACTTATGATAAGGCATGGAGATACGGTATACTTTGGGATCTTCACGAGAGTGGCAACCTACCAATTTTCATTCAGGAATTCCTGAACACTAGGACTTTTCAAGTTAGGATTGGCTCTGTTTTTTCAGATGTTTTTGAACAGAAAGCGGGTGTGCCTCAAGGCTGTGTGCTTAGTGTTATCCTGTTCATTTAAAAAATAAACTCTGTATTAAAAGAACTTCCTCCCTCCATCTTGGGATCTCTATATGTTGCTGATCTACAGATGAGCTGTCGAGGGGCAGATATGACATACGTAGAGAGGCAATAGCAGATGGCTCTGAATAAGATCCAAGAATGGTCAGACAAACAGGGATTTGCATTTTCAAAACGGAAAACTGTGTGCGTGCACTTTTGTAGGAAGCGAGGTTTCCATCCTGAGCCTGAGTTATATTTGAATGGTACAATTATTTCAGTTCTGCCTGAAGTAAAATTTTTAGGAGTGACGTTCGACCGAAAATTGAGTTTTCTTTCTCATGTTTTAAACCTGAAAAAGAAGTTTTTAAAAACACTAAATATTTTAAAAGTGTTGACGAACACCTCCTGGGGTGCAGAGCGTTGCTCTATGCTTTGCATTTATACAGCGCTTGTCCGCCCTAGACTGGACTATGGCTCAATTGTTTACGGATCTGCTCGGTCATCAGTATTGTTAAAATTAGATCCTGTTCACCATCAAGCTCTGCGGATTTGTTCAGGAGCTTTCAGGACTTCTGTCCAGAGACTGTATGTTGACTGTAATGAACCATCACTTTATCTGAGGCATGAACAATTGTTCTTTTTGCAATATTTCAATATTCTATCGCAACCTGAACATCCTAATAAGGTGTGCTTACTTGATAATGTGTGTAAAACTTTATTTGAAACACGTCCATCCTGTGTTCCTGCCTTTCCTTTAAGAGTTCGCCCTGTCATTGAGGAACTTTCCCTCTCTGATATTCGCCCCCAAGCAGTGCAGAATTTTGAAATCCCACCTTGGGAAAATGCACGGATTCAGCTTCTTGGTGTTTTCAAGCATCACGTGAAGGCAAGCACTAATGAGATTATTTACAGACAACTCTTCACTGATCACAGGCACAAATATAGCAGTTATTATCCGATATATATAGATGGATCCAAGTCAAATGATCATGTTGGGATGGCTTTTGTATTTGAATATTGCATAGAGGGCAGATGCCTGCACCATGCTTTCTCAGTCCTAACATCTGAACTAACTGCAATATATTATGGTCTTTTCTACATCTCAAAGCTCTGCCACAAAAAGTTCGTAGTTTATACAGACTCGTATAGTGCTCTTAAATCGTTGGAAGCTTTTCCCAACACTCAGAATCCTGTGGTAGTGGATGTCTTAAAATTCATATAAACTTAACGATTTGAGGATATGAAATCCTGTACTGCTCGGTTCCCGGGCATATAAGAATAAAGGGAAACGAGCTTGCAGATATCGTGGCAAAATCTGCTGTTGAACTGTCCAGTTAGTTGCCTTATCCCTTTTAGAGACATCTGCTGTGTCATCAAGGGGAAGATCCAAAAAAAAATGGCAGCAAATTTGGGATGTTCAGCTTCACAACAAGTTGAGAAATGTAAAGCCTAGAATTGAGCATTGGGATTTTGCTGGAAATCGTAAGGAGGAAGTTCTTTTGACTTGCCTCAGAATTAGTCAGACTAGAGTGACACATAAGTATCTTCTGAAAGCTGAAAATGAGCCTATTTATTTAAATTGTAATATTTGTGTATCTGTTCGTCATATTTTAATAGAGTGTCCGTTTTTTAATAGTCTTCCTCAGAAATATTTTAATAGCTGTGACTTACCTCTCGACCATTTAATCGGAAGAGAGGTCAATTGTAAATTATTTTATTATTTAAAAGAGACTGACTTTTATCACCTAATATAATTTGTTTTGAATATTGTGTCTTGGATTGTAATGTGTGCTTTTACCTTGTTTTATATGACTTCATCCTCTGGTTTGGTACATTTGTTCACTTGCTTTTATTTATTGTATTTTAATTTCATCAATTGTAATCATCCCATCCTGTGTTTGGCATGTTTTAATCATCTTTGGTTTTGCGCCAATAACCTCTCACTCACCTTTTTCTTACCATGTGCCCCTGTAGTGTAATTGAAATCACGTCCAGCTAGCAATCAGATGGACTTAGAACGCTGTTAGGACATTGCTCATTTTTCACATATCCAGCTCCAAAATAAACCTAACAATTCTACAAGTTATGTGTAAGATGTAATGCTGGCAGTACTTTATGGCAGAAGTTAGCTCTTTGTTATTCATACACTCTTGATGTGCTACATGGGATGCTAATTTAATCGCTTTGGTATTTCAGAGAGTAATAATTTTTAAAACTATTTTCTGCCCATGTTTTTATGTTCTTTATTGCTGGTTGATGAACATGGTGTTCTGCAGTGTCTCTGCAACTGAGCACATTGTGATCTAGGTACCAGGTTGCCCTGCATGAACACCGGTTGTTTTCAAGGTGTCCAGAATGGTATAGATAGGTCATGATGTATCGATGCGCTGTCAGAAACTGGGCAAAGTGAAGCAAGCCACTTCTTAAAAGCTGGTGTACCTTTGGGAAATACCTATATACTTTTCTTACCATATTCTTTACATCCCATATATGTTGTCAAGTTCTAGTAATTCTTGTTTCAGCTTGACTTTTGAGAACAAGCCTGGGATTGGCAGAACAAGTGTGCTTATGGCAAGGAGTGTGTACTGCATCAGATTCCTACAGAAAGCACCAAAACTGCAGAATTTGCACCAAACATAACAAAGCATAGGGGGGAGAAAGGAGATTCAGTGCTTCGTATTCACAGAAGTACAAATTTGAATTTTAAGGCAAATTCTGCACTAGACGAGGGAAAATTATTATCTCCCCAATTTAATGACAAAATAAGGAATAATAATTAAGGCTTTCTGAATTTACACTGAGCTAGTAGTATAGTTAAAATACAAAGTGATATTTATAAAAATTGATCATCAAATTTAAATATCTGTAACAAAAAACAAAAAAAAAAAAAAATCTGAAGGCTTACAGATTTCACATTACATCCACAGGGGCACTTTTTAACATTTTGCCTGCTACTTTTATTTCTAAAATATCATGGTCCTCGCATTTAAACCACATAAAATTCAGTTCAACAGCAGTATCACAAAATATTCATCATAAGAGCATATGTTTAAAATTTCCACTAGACAGTCTCGTGTGCTAGAGATAAAAATGTTTTTAACCGTACAGTGTTGCTATTGCTTGCTTTGAAATCATTGAGTTTGTTAATCAAAAATTCATTAAAGATATACAAAATGTGAAACAGACGATGAAGCGAATTCAAAATTCGGGCTTCCAGGTGCCCATGTTCGGGTGGAGGATTACATTGTTCAAAATTTGATGGGTCTAGGTATTGTCATTTTTTCACAGTGCGAGGAACATACATACATTCATGCAAACTCTTCATTATTTAATTTCTTTAAACATAAAATAGCCCATCTGAGCTGATGCTCCTTTTTGCTAAAAAAAAAGTCAACACTCAATTTGAAATTCATGGATAAAAAAACCTTTTTTAAATTCAGGTAATTTTGAAATTTTTATCTTATTTCTTCATGCTGAAATTTATTCCTGTGATGCCTTCTTTATGAGACAGAAAATATACAAAAATTTGTTTTATTCAGTTTTCCCTTTTTCTTCTATAAGACAATATTCTGTATAATGTATAATATTATGTATATTTGTAATATTTTGATATACATCTAGAAATAAGCGACAGAACTGTGGTACTTTAAAGTTCAAATTTTGTAGTGGCTGAAATGGATGGTGGTGACTGATAAATTACAAACTCAAATACTCAAATTTATTGTTCAGAGTGTTTATTAAATTTACATATTTGAAGTATTTAAATTCTGCATTACAAGCTGCTATAAATGTTGAAAAATGCACCTTCAAACTACCACTTCCTTTTTAAATTTGTTGTTACCATTTTTTTTTTTTTTTTTTTTTTTTTAATATATGACCAACAGTAGATTGTTTAATCACATTACTGTTATCATAATTCAATTAAATAACACTGCTGTGCTCTTTACATAGAAATTTAAAATTGGTTTTAATTGCTTAAAACTCTATTCTTTCATTTTGTAGGCACAAGGAGAGAAAGTGGATGATGAAACTTTGCATGATATGCTTAATGAAGTGGATCTGAACAAGAATGGCCAAGTTGAACTGGCAGAATATCTATTGGTAAGTTTCTTTTTGTGTGACTCTCTCTATATATCCCCATCCTTAGTAAAAAAAAAAAAATTAGAAGGGGTAAAAAATTGGAAAATAATAAACTAAACATTAAATGTCTTAGAAAACTCAGGTTTTCAATAGTGCAGCATTTCTTTTCTTTTGTTTAAAGATTGTCAACATTATTTTTATCACTTCCATCACCTACTATTTCTCTGATTAATTGATCATTTGTTGCTTTTAAGTGCCCTGGAACAGTTCACAAAAGAGCTATGTACTGTAGTCATGAAAACTCATTACAAAACCATGATGTATATTTCATAAATTTCATATGATTCTTGGGTCTGCTCTGTATGAAATGAATACTACAAATAATTGTTTCAGTAGGGGGTCTTACCATTAATGCCAAGAATTAACAGAACATTTTTAATGAAAGTTTTGTGGGTGTGGTGACTAAAAGTGGCTTACAAAGTCTTTTATCAAAAGGACAAAAGACTGACAAAGTCAAAGTTAAAAGGACTTTGCAAACCACTTCTGGTCACCACACTTTGTAGTGTCTTCCTGTGGGGTTATGTCAAGTCAAATGTTTATGTGATAAACAGGCCCCGAGCTAAAAACAGAAATTCAGTGAACCATTGGCGAATTAAACAAAGATGTCTGAATAAAGGGTTGTTGTGAACTTTACCAGCAGAGTAACTGCTTGCTGAAAAAGTGGAAGTTGGCATATGTCAGATATCGCATATAAGTACAAAATAGGAATGTAAATAGGCGGAAGCAAAACAAAAGAATTTTGATTTTTTATTCTCATTTTACAGATTTATTGTGTTTTCAAAATTTGAGACACCTATATTAATGCAAATAAAATAAGTAACTCCTATATCATTTCCTTTGAAAATCTTTAGCATGCCTTCTGGCAGGCTGTCTCTGCACTTTTACCTCCTCCAACCATTCTCAATTCCAACAATTGAAAACTGTCCTAATAGAGGAATGGAAACTGCTGGCACCCACAAAGGTTTATCGCCTCACCACAAACCTGGGCAGTTGTTCTAAAGTTTGCATTTAGGTCAGCGTGGTTACATGCCTTATGATAGCTGGTGATATGTTCTCTTTTGTCTGATGCATCAAAATGTCACACGTTTTACTATCTTTAGTTTATTATAGGAACTAATTGTCTTATTATATACACCGAGCTGCATGGTGGGAATCATAACAGATTGCTATTACATTTCACAGTGCTTTCTCAGTTTCATTGAACCCTCTAAGAGCAGCTCTCTTACAGTGCCATCTGTTGGTATGTACATCATTAATGAAAGGTTTGTTTGCTTTAACCCTCTGAGAGTTACAAGTTTAGCCTTGAAATTTTAGTTTCTCAAAATGTCATGAATAAATAGTATTTTCCTGATTATAATTAAAAAACTATTCTCTCACTTTGTACCTTGATTCGTTTTCTTTGAAGATACATCCAAATCAAAATTGGATGCATTAAAAGCTGGCTGAAATTTTCTTGTGTAATGAATAAAAAAGCCATCCTTCAATATAGAATTTTTATATCCATAATGCTGAGGTGGGTGAATTTGTCATCTTTTGTCATCATATACCAAATGTGATGTACAAAATGTGATATACGAAGGTCAGTCAAAAGATTAGTTGCACTGCTTAAGGAAACAAAATAGGATAGAAATTTTACAATAACTTTATTTGTATCTTTAGTTCCATTCAAAATCTACTTTTAATGTAATTACCTTCATTATTAAAGTATTTATTGAGCCATGGTACAAGTTTTTTCGATGCTTTCTGCAAAGAAATCTCATCCAACGCCCAATAATCATTCTTGGGTTGCAGCTTTCACCTCGTCATACGATTGGTATTGTCACTCTGAAAGTTCTGCTTTCATGGGATCATAAACATGGAAGTCACACTGTGCAAGGTCTGGGCTATAAGGAGGGCTGTAATGCAGTCATTCATGCAAGCAGCAATTTCAGAATTTGTGGCAGTTGATGGTCTTGCCTCGTGCTCAGTGTCATCAATATCTGTAAGTCCATTCTCAAGCATGTCACACCACTTCACGATATCTTGACATGACAGTACATTTTCACCATAGACTTCATACAATTGCCGATAAATTTCAAAGCAATATACCTTTTCATTCACACAAAAAAAATCACTGCATGCATTTCCAGTTTAGATGCTACTTGCAGCTGTTGAGACATGTTTACAATTTATTATCAGACAAACTAAAATTGCCTCGTGAAAACACCGCTACATCACGTGATGCAGCTAAATGCCTGATATGTTGCAAGTCAGTTTCATCAAAATATTATTTGACAGAAAATTTTTACGAAGGGGTGCAACTCGCTTTCTGAAACATTCGCAGAAACAGTTATTGCAGCATTTTTCATAAAATGGCTATTTTCTGTTGTTGGACAGGTAGGATTAGTATATGTCATGAAATTTCTGTAACAGTCTTGGCATTATTTTGTGATATGATAAAGATATTGCATTTTTTAGCCTTTTTATTTCTAGGCCAATAAAGTATTCTGCTTCTTTATATATTGCTTTAAATTCCCTGTAATTCCAACAGAATAAGTAATATCAAGAAGTCCATCATCAACATATAGTGCTAATAGCAATTTCTGCTTATTGTCCTAGTAAAATAAGCATGGGTCAGTCTTGCTCTTATTAAAACCATACTACCATTCTAGAAATTACTTGAATCTGTTATTCCATCATCTAGGTGATTGCTCTAGTCCATAGAGGTTTTTGATCAGTTAGTGTACTCTACCTGACTTTTCATCGTAGCTTTCTGGTTGTTGCATATAAATTTACTTAATACCCCGCACAAGAATGCAGATTCAACATCAAATTACACCGAAGATATATATTATTATAACCATTCTTCATCTATAATAATGGGTTTGGCCAGGAACAAAACCACTGCGCGCGCGGCTGATGTTGAAGTATATAAAGCAGCTATGCATTGTCTTTCCAAACATAGCACAATTAGCAACATAATGGAAAAAGCAGCTAATTTATCATTTTTCAATAATGGTCAAATTGTTATGCCTCGGTGACTGGGGAACATCAATATCAGAAACAGTGCATTTAATGGGCTGTTGATATGCAGTCGAAACCCTGGCTCCCAGATACACAGTTAGACAGAGAATAGCCGGTGGCAGGGGTATTATGGTGTGGGCAATGTTTGTTCCATAATCCCCATAAAACAAACCCTGACATCTGTGTGCTACTTGAACATTGTTGCTAACCAGTTTCACCCATTCATGACAACAGGATTTCTAGCAGAGGATAGTATCTACCAACAGGATAATGCTCCATGTCATAAGGGTTGAATCGCCAAGGAATAGTTTGAGAAACATTCCAGTGATTTTCAAATCATGTCTTGGCCTCCAAATTCACCTAACATTAATCCAATGGAGCATTTGTGGTCTCACCTGGAAAACCGAATTCGTGCTGCCATGCAACCCCCCCACACACATACACAATGTGCAGGAATTGCTGGACCAGTTGGTGAGAACGTAGTACCATATACCTCAGACTACATATCAGCACCTTGTGGAGTCAGTGCCATGCCGGGAGCTGGCAGTTTTGAGGGTTAAGGGTGATCATGCATGTTATTAATTGGGTGGTCATAATGTAATGGCTCTTCGGTGTATGATAATTCTAGACCTTCATTTGCAGCAACACTTATTAGTCTTATGTTTTAATTTAAGTTTCTTATGTTCACTCTGGTCTTATATTTGAAAGTGAGCCACTGTGCTAAGTGATTCACAGTAATCAACCCCTTCCTTTTGAGAAAAATCTTTTACTACAATACGAGCTTTGAACTTACTAATGCTTCCATGTGCATGATACTTCACTTTATATACCCATTTATTTCCAATGGCTTTCCTTCCATCTTTAATTTTGTCAGGTACCAAATCTGTTTCTCTGATAAAGATTGTAGTTCATCTTCCATTGCACCCTGCCACTCATTCACATTCTCTAATTTCTTTGCTTGATAATAATTTTGTAGTTCTTAGGGCTTTACAATACAGCATTTATTCAAATATTCAGGTGGTTTTATTTGCCTCCAGTTTCTCAATCCTTGAAAATACTCTGTGTTGACTTCTGTAGTCTGGTTCAAACTTACCCACAATGTTGTCTGTTGACCAGGATTCTTCAGTGCATTGTTGCTGAGACATAGTTGTTGGTCTGATTTCTCTAACTTAGATGTTAAGATTAATTCAGGAGAAAGCACAGCATCTCTAGTCCTTTCTGCCCTTCTAGTGCCATTGAACCATATACGATAAATATAAGTATCATCTAAATATTCAACTAAGTTACTTTTATGACCTCTTGAATCCCACTTCTTTATTTTCTATATAGGTGCACATACAAATTACTCTGTACTATTAATTCTCAGATGATGAAATCTTAGTCTTTTTTCCGCAGAATAATTCATAGGGTAATCTTCCCTCAGCCACTGATGTTTCAGCACAGTAATTCAATGTGCACACAACTGCATTCATCATTTCAGACCATAGTGACTTGGGTAGATCTTACAGAAACAAAATCGTTCTTGCTAAATCTACTAGTATTCTATAGGTTTGTTCAGCTGATCCGTTTTGCTCTGGTTTATAAGGAGTACTATAATGAAATTCTGCCCCTTCTTTTTTTTTTAAGAAGTTGAAAGCTTGTTTGGATAAGCTTGAAAGCTTTGTTTTGATACTTTTGATTTTTTCCATCACTAAAACCTACTTTAATTGATTTTGTTTGATTCATGATGATAACACAGTTTTTTTCAAATTTAGCTCCAATTTCATGACTTATGTTTTAGAAAATGTGCTTTTCTGTGTTTAGAATACTCATCTGGAATGGCAAACAAATAAAACAAAGTAGCGAGAACCACCCATAGATTCCTGTCTTCCGTAGGTCCACAAACTTCAATGTATATTTTCTTGTCAAAATTTTTTGCACAGTGTTGATGATTTACACATGCTTGACAAAATTTCCTA